TTTTTTATTTTTATCACAACCAAGATAATTGCGTGTAGCGCGTTGTGTTTATCAAAACTTTAGGTTAGGAATGTTGTTAAATAAACTACATAGATGTTTCTCGGTAATTACAAAGAAACACAAAGAAGTCATACGCTATGAATAAGAATTTAACTTAAGCCTTATTTTACATATCTACATAAATTATTATTTAAATGTATCACTTACTTAATCAACACACGTTAGAGATACCTACATCTTATTAATTCGTTCTTACTGTACATACGTTGATAATTATAATATTGTTGTATTATTTTCCGATTCCAATTTCCATTAATGAGTTTGCGTACTTTGAGTGCATATGCGCTATTATTAAATCTCCCTCCCTCAAGCCCATTTAACAGATTTGTAAAAATAAAGACATCGATAATTGTATAGCTACTTATTGCTGATCGAAGACATAATTTAAAACTAATTGTTGTAGGGTTACATAGTTACAAAAAAAAACAAAGATAATGTGGTCTTCACAGGCGGTCACCCATCGAAGTACTAGCCACGCTCGATATAACTTGACTTCAGTGTGCTTAGTGCGAGTTTTTTAACGTTCTCGATAGCGTAAAAGTTAGCTCATATTTGTATGGAATGGGATCGTTTGCCTACGTTTGCCGCTAGGGGCGCTGTTCCAACTGCATACAAAATTGGGCTAGCTTTTACGCTATCGAGAACTTTTAAAAACTCGCACTAAGCACACAGATAAGAACGCGGATTCTTCACCGTTGTATGGACGTTGTTTTTTTCTAGAGCAGTGGCTCTCAACCACTATGCCGTAGTATTTTTGTGTGCTTCCAAATTCCTAGTAGGTATGCCGCCAAATTTTACATCCAAATCTATTACGCAATATATTAAAGATAAGTTAACACCTATTCAACTTAACTTTTTCTTTGTGTACCGTAAAATTTTGAAATCGTTAAAATTATTCCGCGTAATAACAGGTTGAGAATCAATAACCTAGACTCTAGGCAGCTAACAGCGTCTAGACCCATTAGCCCTAGACGGATTTTATTAAAGGTTTTATTACTATAAGAATTTAATTTAATGCAAAAATATAATTATCTTAAGAAATTGAAAAATTGGTCCCTGCCTGCGGAATTCGAACACCGGCACAGTCGCATCGCTAGTTATTGTTTAAGCAACGAGGACTTCAAAAAACTTCACTAAAGTCTTAAAATTGGCAGTGATCCTTTGTTCTTTTATTTTAGTTATCACCTAAAAGTCATGACTTTGGCTATAAAATACACGTGTAATGGCATTAGGCACAAAGTTCCTTTTGCGTTTTGAATTGACAACACGATTTTCTACATCTGCCAAACTCGTGTCAAATCGAATGAATTGACATTTCTTGGTTTCTGTAACCTCTGTGTATGATGTTAAAGGGCCATTCAATATTTTGAGTTAATCACTTTACAGTAATTCCAAGTTAAAAAGTGCTTAAGTTTCTATATCACTAATATGGTAAATACTTTGTATTAGTTTATAATTTTTTCCGTTATTTCTATTCGAGCTACGATCACGTCATGAACATTACAAGCAAAATTTGCTTTCGTTTGTTACAAGCAAATGCGGCATCTAAATTGTTTGTTATATGAAACAATACTTCTTTGAAACTATCAAATAGCAATCAGACATAATTTATGAAACCGATTTATTTTTTCCAAAACCTCAGTTTTTTTGTATGTACACATTTATGTACTTATTTCACAGTCGATACTAGCGTATAACGGGGGTGCGGTAGTCGCCATGAAGGGCCAAGACTGTGTGGCCATCGCTACGGACAAGCGGTTTGGTATACAAGCTCAAACAGTATCAACCAACTTCCCAAAAGTATTCCAAATGGGACCCACATTGTATGTAGGCCTTCCCGGTCTCGCGACTGACACCCAAACTGTATTTCAGAGACTGAAATTTAGGTAAGTAGTTACAGTTCTTAAACTGATAATATGCATCTATAACCAAAATAAAACATTTTAAACTATTAAGTATTGATATATTATATACTAAATCCTGTTTTTGTGTCTTTGAACAGGATAAAATTTAAAAAGAACAAAAACTGACAAGCCCTCTCATACCTATTTTATGTAATCTTATTGTTGCATTTATAAACATATGTAAATCAATTTATTTTTTCAGAATGAACTTGTATGAATTAAAAGAAAACAGAATGATGCGGCCTAAAACATTCTCAGCGATGTTGTCAAACTTATTATATGAACGACGTTTCGGCCCTTACTTTATTGAACCTGTCATAGCTGGTCTAGATCCCTATGATAACCAACCTTATGTCTGTAACATGGACTTGGTAAGATTCATAAATAGTTTTTTTTTTAAATGAAACTTTATTATGTCGAAGTATTGATCTCCCCTGTTCTGGACTGATTAATTTTCTCTATGAAATTGTGTATCACAGTTGTATTTTTAGTGATCATAAGCTAAATACTATTTTTATTCAATACGTTTTTACTCCAATGGGTATAAAAATATTATAGAAAATATTTAAAATTCTATCACTTTGCAAGCTTGCAATCCCCTCCAGCATACCAAAGATTTTATTAAAGAAATTAATAATAATTATAAACAAAAGCAATATAGAAAACCAAAAGGCTCTTAAACAAAGATTTTAAAAATGAACTTTTCAATTGTATTATTTACCCAAAACACATTTAATTATAAACAAAACATGCCTTCAACAGATTGGTTGCCCAAATGAACCTGAAGATTTTGTGGTATCGGGCACCTGTTCTGAACAGCTGTATGGTATGTGTGAAGCTCTCTGGGAGCCCAACTTGAAGCCAGATGAACTCTTTGAGACAATCTCACAGGTATGATCCACTATCTTTTTTGTTGCACCTGGTGATGTAATTAGAGGAGCCCACAGACATCAGTGTAAATACCTCTGTCTACCTTGCAACATGAGTAATCTGAACAGTACAGTCATATTTATTTAGGTTTAAAGGTAAACTGTGACATTTCCACCTTTTAATTAAGGTTTCTTTCAAGACCCTTAACTTCTAGCAAGTTCTTGACTGTGACCATTCAAGTCGGCTGTTTGCAGTTAAAATTCAAAGCTCCTCAAGAATAAAGGTTACAAAAAGATATCTATAAACTCATAGCCATTGACATGGCAGTATAGCAAAATATAATTATTTAAAACCTGTTTATAATTGTACTCAGAAATTTTTATTTGTAATTTCACTTCCAAAGGCTCTGGTTAATGCGGCGGATCGTGACGCCATCTCCGGTTGGGGTGCCGTTGTTTACATCATTGAGAAAGACAAGATCACTGAGAAACACGTCAAGACTAGGATGGATTAGTTTATTTTAAGATTTATGTGGTATTTTGTCCAGGTTTACTAATAAAATTATTTCAAATTCATTTTGTGTTAATCTATGGCTTCAGTACTAGCAGTTGTTAACTCATTCTCTCAAAAAAATATTTTTATTTTTATTGCATAGACGTGTGGACTAGCTCACAGCCCACCTGGTGTTAAGTAGTTACCGGAGCCCATAGAGATCTACGACGTAAATGCCGCCACCCACCTTGAAATAAGAGTTTTAAGGTCTCAGTATAGTTACTGTGACGGCCCCACCCTTCAAACCGAAACGCATTACTACTTCATGGCAGAAATAGGCAGGGCGGTGGTACCTACCCGTGGACCCACAAGAGGTCCTACCTCCAGTAAAATATTATCGACTGGTTGATATCTAAAGTTCAGGAGTATGCCTATTACTTAAAATTGACTGTTTACTTTGATTCACTAAATATAAAATTGTCACTTTAGATACATATAGGCATATATGGCCTGAGTTTTAGCAACATGACGTCATTAATTTCCAAATATGCATACATCTCCTGAATAAATTTAACCAGTTCTCAAGTGTACAAAAAATAGGGTGTTTACTGAAAAAAAACAACATATCAATGCAGAAACTTTATAACCGAATATTTAAAAAAAAATTAAGTTTCATATTTTCATTCACATATTATTCGTCTTTAAAAGAGCAGTACTATTAGACTAGAGATAACAAATTAACCGCTTTGAATTTCAAAATAATAATTTCGTAGCGAAGCTATTTTCTGTTTTATAATTTTTTTACATCGTCGTTGTCAATCGAAAATACCTTTCTCAATATTAATCAACGTATTGTCAGCGAACAGCTTTCAAAAACGTTGACGATACGAGAATACTAGATAGTGCTTGCAATTGAGACACAATTAAACATACAAGAATTACATTCGATAAATTACATTTAACACGCTGTATGTACTGCATTGTAATTCAATAAAATATCGATTGTTTATTCCATGTAACGAAAGACCGTAACCTACTCACTTCGCTTTAGATTGCGGCCTCACGAAATATAAGCAAAACGATGTCTTATCACTCACTTATTCGCTACTTCGGTAAAGCTAAGAATTAGTTACACCCGGATGGGAGTTAATTTGGATTTTTAACCGACAACGACGATTCTTGTATACAACCTTCACCGTTTAACAAAATATAACTAATATTAGGTTAATCTACAAATCGTATTATAATAAATCCTCATTCATAAAGTCGAAGTTTAAAAAATTGTTGAATCTAAACCGAAAATGGTAACAAGATAAAAAAAAATTAGGAAAACGGCCAATATTTTTGTACCTAATACATTGCTGGCTGCTGACAAGGAGCGTTCATGATTAACTCAAATTATACAGGGTTTCCCAGAAATAATGGATAATCCTGAAACACCTCATAGTAGAGCTATTGGGAACACAAAACAAAAAATTTAAAATCAAGTTCTCAAGTAGTACCCAAATTACGTATTTTAAAAAAAAGTTGATATTTTCCATACTGTTGTGCGTTTCTGGAATATACAACAGCTACAAATAAATGAAATCCATAGGCTTTTTGGTGTTATAATATTCTACATGGACTATACTAAGGAATATGCAGGAAATCTGGTATGAAATTTGGTATTTTTAATTTGGGTACTACCTAAGAATTTTTTTTTTTAATACCCAATATCTCTACTATGTGGTGTTTCAGGATTATCCATTCTTTCTGGGACACCCTGTATACGTATGATACGTGATATCAGTCCGACGCTTTTAATACTTTTCATGGCCAAGAAAAAGTTCAGTCGCAATAATTCTATTGACTAAACTCGATCATATGAGGGAGCAAAATATTAATACGATTTGCAGATTTCGCCCATCCCTAAATATCAACCTAAACAATGGCAACACATATGACATCGGATCATTACAATGACATGACTAAACACATTGTTCAGGATCATAAGAAATCATTCGAAAATGTTATATATTATTTATTAACATCGCCGCGTCGTCTTGCTAACTATCACTTCAGTTTTTTTTTAAATCCCAAAAATAAATTTAAACAAAATTAAATATATCAGAGATACATTATTTGTATTTAAATCAATCTAAAGAGAGTATTAAACTAATGTTTTAAAAATATTTAATTTGCAAAGAAAATATTTAATCGCTTTCCCTTTTTTCAAATAAATCCACAAGAATATTAGTTTATACCGTGGTATTAAATTTTTGAGGTAGATCTCATACTTCAGTCTTCTATAAGCCAGTTAAAGAGGCCTTTATTAAAGTGAAGTATTAAAATTTATTTTTTTAGGTATACAAAGCAGGACAACCTTTTTCGTTAGCAAGACGACTTCATGATTCAAGTTTAATAATATAATTATCATATCACAAATCCTCGGATTCCAAATTGTTCCGTAATTAAAATACTGATTATATGAGAACAACTTTTAAATCTAATATTACGGTAATCGACATAAATATTTTTGTCGATTGAGAGAAAAGTTCAGTTTAAGAGTTAATTAAAGAGCTACCCAAATATTATCGACAAAAAGCAGTATAACTATTTATTATTTAGAAAATTTACGTACGGAATTTCGAAAAACATCAAAGTGAATACATTTTAGAGTTTTTTTTTACTTTTAAATCACAAGACCATCGATTGTCTTATTCAATATCATAATAAATAACAAAAACTTATTTAATACAATTACTAATTTAACACTACCCTCTAGACAGAAACTAAGCATGCTAAGGATTATTGGCAAAAGTTGCAATATTATAAATATTATCATTGACACGCAATCTTTTTTTTTTTAAACATATTTTTATACAACTTTACATTATAAGAAGAGGTAACAGGGAAAATTTGTTACATTTTTTTTCAACCATTTCAACGACAAGACCTATAATAAAATATCTCGTTTGTCGTAAATTTAATTGATCCACGAAATAAGAAGAGTTAAAGATACAACAATATATAAATTTAATAAGGCTCGCACATAGTTCAAGTATCGATCTGCATTAATATCGATAAGTTGAAACGAACACTATTTTTTTATCGATACATCAACATCAACTTATATTCAAGCTAGGCGACAGCGGAACGTCATACCAAGCTGACTATTTATTAAAAACCGTCGCGATTCGCATACAATTGAAAGTTACAGTTAAATTTAACTTTTTTACGTAAATATTCTGAATTTCAAATTTGTTTACACAATATAAAACTACGAGTTTAATAGATAGCTTTTTTTATTATCCCCGAAAATGTATTATTATTTTATATAGACTTGAAAATTCCTCCAAATTTTTTCTCAAAAAAAACGAGTATCCTTCATTCAAAAGTTAGGAACATGCTTTCTCTTCGAAAGAAACTTAAGATTTGGACGAATTTTCTTTGAAGAGAAATAATTTTCGAAAATCTACGTTGGAATAAACCAACCTTTTAAAAATGTCGCGTCAAAGTATTTTGCGACATTCAATTTATCGCCTCAAAGCCGAGTGAAGACTTTAGAGAACCAGAAACAGAGCTGACCGACACCGCAGCATTGAACAATTTCCATTTAACATTTTTTATTTTATTCAATTACGAATCGAAATTAACTTACCATTATTTATCATAGAATACTTGTCTTTGACAATATAACATTTATAGAGATGTCCTGCGTTACTATCGACATTATGACTCAGTTTAATATATCGATAACTATCGAATTTATATGATCATTTGTAGCAACAGGTTAAGAATTAGGACTAAATTTCTACATTTAAATCCAAAAACTGAAACGATCGAATGATTTCTTCTCACACAGACATCTCTTTTTTTCAAAAAAACAAAAAAACGCAATGCTTCCTTCAATATCTTCGCTAATTCGTTGAATTTCTAAAAGTGGCTCTACGTTCCTTCGTATATACGACACCCTGTAAACTCCAATATTAAACTATAACTAATCGAAAAGAAAAACAATTTAAATTATACCTCAAACAATTGAATTTCCTTTCGAACAGAAAATAAAACGAAAAAGCAATATTCGATCGTTATGTACACGAGAATTCGGTATACTTATATAAATTACAAAAAAAAAAACAGTAATTACAACGAATTGAATAATCAAAATTCGATTATATTAACGAACAATCGACCATAGACAATCCGAGACCTATCTCCTACGTGCAAACCACTAATCGAGTTGAAGGAAGCATCGCCTTTGATTAGGGATCTGCGTTACGCCGCCATTACGTCCGAACGCGGGAAAATATAACAAAGGCATTACAACCATAGACGAAAACGAATTTAACGAAAAAAAAACAAAAGCAAAGGGAAACGCAAATTAACTCTATGCGATTTAAAATTGTAACCTTATAAACTAAATAAAGGAAAGAACGGATCCGGTACGTCACAGCGCGCGGATTGCGATAGTTCGTTGAGTTCCCGCCGGGGGGCGCCGCTAGTTGCCCTCGATGGCTTTGGCTACGAACTCGATGAATCTCTTCCCGTACTGCTCGGGGTCACACGTGGAGATACCATCTACGTTGCTCCCGTACTTCACCGTCTTCGCAGCTTTGGCGGCCTGCAACCAGAACGGCCCATCAGTAGTTTGTCCTTTGACGTTGGCACTTAAAAAATCAACCTGTGTCAGTTCTTCGTGGACCACAGCAAAAGCACTTTATTCGCGAGGTATGTGTATGTGGTTTGTTATTTGCTGTTCGTATTCGCGGGATACTTTACTCCGAACATATAAAAGTCAAACACACCATTTCAACAACAACTATATCGTGTACAATATTAAAGTATAAACCAAAAGTAAAGTAAGCAACGCCGGGCACTAGAAGGTACAAAATAAAAACTAAAATTACGTTTTTACAATCAACTTAAATCGACGCGCGCGAATCTCTTTGCATGACGTCACCGGACACCTGCGCGTTCGGGAACCCCGATCGCGTCCGATGACGCCCGAGTGCGACCGAACGTTGCACGCTACATAATATACATTCCGTAAATATACCCCGAAAACAGATACTGTAAATATAAAATTGTAATTTACATATATATTGTTACGCCGGTAAGAGTAACGCCATCTATCGTCGAATAGCAGAAACGAATATCAAGGGAACTAGTAACCTCGAGAACGCTCGAGAAATACTACGCCATCTATTGTCAGATAGCGGAAACAGACATTAAGGCCACTCGACTTGCCCAGAATGTTCTCCATGTCCATTTGACGATGACTTTTAGTTGCATACAAACAAATTGAAATCCTTATTATCAATGCGTATGTACCGATGTATCGATTGGATCCGCGAATTAAGAAATCTTTAGCCTCGAACATAGGAATTGGGTTGTATTTTTTTAATGCGCGAATGAATGAAGCGCGAATAAGAAATTTTTACTGTAGTTGAAATTATTCTATCATCGAAATGCGAGATTGAAGTGTTGTATTGCGTTGTGTAACAACTGTTCAATCCATCCAAGCGAAACGCGTGACTGTTTCGCGGCAGAAGTGCGCAGACCGGTTTTACCTATCCAGGCCGGCTTACATTCTCAATATAAGATATGCACAATAGCCGTCCGTTGGTAGAAGTTGCCAATGTATTGGAAAAAAATGATCATGTTTATATAAACAACAATATTTTCATGTCTAATGCTTAATACTTCTATTGAAACTAACAAAAATGACTTTTTTAAATTTACCTGCTTTTTGACGCCGTAGTGTGTGAGAACGTCGATGAGAGCTACAAAATATATCTCCTTTTTAGGAGCACCTATAAAAACAACAAAAAATATTAAATAATTAAAAGGTATTAGATCGTGTCTCTTGCTTGAATACGTGATCGAGCTAACAGCTCGAATTTTGACGGCGGAATTTTGATTCAGATTCAACAAACAAAAAACCTTTATTTTAGTATTATACGTACAAAGAGAATTTTTATTAATCGTATCACGAAACTTATTTTATTGGCGCTAGGTTATATGGGATTTTTTTTATTGCTTAAATGGTTGGATGAGCTCACAGCCCACCTGGTGTTAAGTGGTTACTGGAGCCCATAGACATCCACAACGTAAATGCGCCACCAACCTTGAGATATAAGTTCTAAGGTCTCAAGTATAATTACAACGGCTGCCCCACCCTTCAAACCGAAACGCATTACTGCTTCACGGCAGAAATAGGCAGGGCCGCGCGGACTCACAAGAGGTCCTACCACCAGTAATTACGCAAATGATAATATTGCGGGTTTGTTTTTTATTACACGATGTTATTCTTTTACCGTGGAAGTCAATCGTGAACATTTGTCAAGTACGTATTTCATCAGAAAAATTGGTACCCGCCTGCGGGATTCGAACACCGGTGCATCGCTACATAGGAATGCACCGGACGTCTTATCCTTTAGGCCACGACGACGACTAACTGAATGGTTCAGTAAATTGTCTCTAGAGCGTACCTTCCTGGCTAGGGATGGCGTAGATGTCCAGCTCGGGGATGATGCCCTCGTACCGCAGCGAGGTCTGGCGGCCGAAACCACGAGGACTGTCCGGTGGAGTGTTGTAGCCCCATCTAAAACAATGTACACTTTACTATTCCACAAAACACAACTGCGTCTTCTCGCATTAAAACTGTACTAGTGGCCCCGCAGTAGTCGAAATTCTAGACTATAATTAATTAAAATTATATTAGTTCGATTGCCAAAAAATAATATAATTCGATAATATAATCGACAGTATTCGTCAAAACTGCACTATAGATCAATAATATTAAAGACAAACAATATTAATCTATTTTCAATTCGACCACAGACAAACAATAACAAAAGTTTCCCAATTGACAGTAAGCAAAGAGTATATTTTTATGTACATTTGACTTCATGGCTTCTTCTTACCAATTAATATACAGTTATCATACTATTTTGTTTTGTTTATTTTGAGTAAAACTTGTCGTATACCGTTATCTGCCCACTGTGGTAAAAATAGGTACCAGTAAGTGTTGGTAAGATTATTTTTTTCCTACCTAGTCTGATAGCCTTGAAAGGTTATGTCAGCGTCGCCTTAGCTAGTAGATGAGCTCACGGGGCTCAAACCGGAATGTTGCTAACACTGACCCTAGCAAGAGAGCAGTGCTTCGAAGAATCTACCACCGGATCGGAAACGCGACCCACTAAGAAGATCCGGCGAGAAACTCAGTGGGATAAACGATTAGTGTTAATGTGGAGCGGCTAGTTGTCGGCGTGTCGGCGTGTCGGCACATACCCGTCGGCGTGCCGGTTGTCGGTGTCGGAGTCGGAGTCGGTGTCGCGGTCGGTGTCGGCGTCGGGCGGGCGGGCGCGCGCCGCCTCCGCCTCCGCCTCCCCGCGCCCGCACTCGTGCACGCCCAGCAGCAGCGAGTAGTCCATCAGGTGCAGCTTCGTCAGGAACTGAACGCAATCATTATAATGAATAATTAATATATTATTATTTTGAAGTCGTCGTGGTCTAAAAACGCTTATGAATAATTATATTGGTTTTTTATCAAAAAAAAATAATTATGCAAAAGTACTATTGTTGGTAAGAATTTTTTGTGGCTCTTTAAAAGCTTTGACATTTTGCAAATTGTAATTTTTGGCTCTTGCGACTGAAAAGGTTGCTGACCTCTGTAATAGATTTCTATAATCACAGATTTCACCAAGACTTGTACACTTTAGAAAAACATTAATAAAGACGAAACAGTATTTAATCTAATTTTTTTAAGGGATTTTATGACCTGGTAACTGAGACCTTTAAGTCATGTCTTATTTTAATTTATATTCTTATTTTTATGAAAAATGATACTAAGGAGATAAATGAAATGAAATGAAGATGATTAATTTGGGACATTAATCAGCTGGGATGAAATTAAACGAAATGAGATGATATGGGATGAAATATAATCTCAGTAAAATGATGGCCATTTACTAAGATTTTTTCAGTGGACTTTTTGGAGGATCCCGAGAAGATACGTCCAGCGGCATTTTCCCACATTCGTGCACTTTCACAGATATTAAACAGTTAATAAACCACCATTATTACACATGTAAACCCGAAGAAACACTAAATAGACAAAATAAAACAAATCACACAACTTCACTCCTCGCGTTCCCGCCAAAAAGTCATATTTAATCTATTTTCAATCTGACCACAGACTATAAGCAATAAGAAAAGTATGACATTAAACAAACAATATGTATGCGTGGGTGTGTCAAATACATGGTAGTGTGTAATGTTTTTATTTATTGATTTAATGTATTTATTATGCATAATTTAAAAAAATATTAACATTCTGCACTCCTTTTCGATATTCTTTATAAGTGTGGGAAATTTCATACTCCTCCGTCCGCGCAATTTTTGTAAAAAAGGGATACATAGTTTTTGCTTCACATATTAATATAACATAGATATACTCCTTGTATTCTGTGTATTTAATACCTTTTTTATTGCTTAGATGGGTGGACGAGGTCACAGCCCACCTGGTTTTGAAGTGGTTACTGGAGCCCATAGACATTTACAACGTAAATGCCGCCACCCACCTTGAGACATGAGTTCTCAGTATAGTTAATATAACAAGTGGTCTTTTATCAGTCGCCTATAAATACCTCCTCAATTAAAGTCCTCCTCAAATCTGCAAGTGATTGTTTACTATCCCTATCATTTACACTCTTATCACTATCGCACTCCGAGAATCTCACTTGACTAACAGATTCTAGATAGAGATAGGTCAGTACGTAATATCGATAGTTATATGCGTTCACTTATCAATATTTTAACGGACCCTTCAATCAATAAATTTATTAAGACTATCACAATTAAGTAAAACATATATATAGTCGTTGTCAAACCAAAATCTGCTATGTGCACTTTTGAGATTTTTACTTTTTGACCTTTTCGTATAGTTCACAGCCCTATCTACCGTATAAAAAAAACTGTTATGTGTCTTAATATTTAATAAGCTTTAATATGTTATATCTTTCATTTGATATTTCATATATATTTCATATATATTAGTTCTTAAAAATTTACTTTCATAAAATTTTATACGAAAATATTTTTACGCATTACTGCTTCACGGCAGAAATAGGTAGGGTGGTGGTACCTACCCGCGCGGACTCACAAGAGGTCCTACCACCAGTAATTACGTAAATTATAATTTTGCGGGTTTCATTTTTATTACACGATGTTATTCCTTCACCGTGGAAATCAATCGTGAACATTTGTTGAGTACGTATTTCATTAGAAAAATTGGTACCCGCCTCTGCTAGATTCGAACACCGGTGCATCGCTCAACACGAATGCACCGGACGTCTTATCTTTTAGGCCACAACGACTTCGAAGTTAATTGGAACACTTGCTATACCTCGACGTCAGCGGTGAGGGTCTCGAGAAGTTTCTCCTTGGCGGCCTCGCCGATGTCGATGCGCACGCCCTGCTTCAGGAAGTCGTTGTCCTTGAGCGTGGGCAGCTCCTTCTCCAGTTCCTTCTCGGAGGCCTCGCGATCCACCGTCGATCCCTTCAAATCGTACTTTCTGTAACGGAGTATGTTTTTAGTGTTACTACAACCGCGTACAATCTTGCCCACTGAGTTTCTCGCCGGATCTTCTCAGATGTCTATGAGCTCCAGTAACCACTTAACACCAGGTGGGCTGTGGGCTCGTCCAATCATCTAAGCAATAAAAAAGTGGATCGCGTTTCCGATCCGGTGGTAGATTCTGCGAAGCACTGCTCTTGATAAGGTCAGTGTTAGTAACGCATCTTGGTTTCCGCAACTCACCTACACGTTAGCGTTACGCTGACACAGCCTCTCAAGACTATCAGCTTAGGAAGAAAAAATATAATCTTAAACGTAAGAGCCTAATAACGAGCTCAGTGCCCACCTGCTGTTACGCGGTTACCGGAGCCGATGGACAACAACAAATACCGCTATCCCCCTAGAAACTTTAAGTTGCGAGTCTCAGGTTTATAGGTCATCGGCTGCCTCACCCTTCGCCGCGGTGATAGGCAGAGACGGTGGCAACTAACCGAGCTGATTCATTTTAAGCCATCACGATTTCGCAACGGCCTGTAGTTAGATATATATATTTTTTTTGCTATTGCTCTGGAACTTGTAAATTTATTTGTAATTTTGTTTTCAATAACTAATTTGGATGCTCGCTCGCTATGTTCACTGAAATGAGTTTTCTGAGTAAGCATATCATTTAGATTGCAATCCAGATCAGATTTAGATAGTACCAGCTGTACCCGTCCGCTTCGCTGGGCATTTAAAATTAACATTATTATTTCTCACCCCCACAAAGATTCTCATCATTAACGCCCCCGCAACTGGTGTAGGGAGTCCAACACTCATTTAAAAATATTAGCCTATCCATTAAGTACATGTATTTTCTACATGAATACCAAGTTTCAAGTCAATCGGATGCATGTTTCAGTAGTTATAACGGCACATTCGTAAAAACCACTGTAAACATATATATTAGTATAGATTTAGGTATGACTTAGTTAATATGTAATGTAGTGTGATGTGTTTTGAGAACCATTCAAAAAATAATAAAAAAAACTACAGATTACCTGTGTATATTGAGATGGTTGGAGAACACGTTCCTGGTAGCGACCAGGTAATGCTCTATTCCGTCGACGGTCAGTCGGTACATGCCCAAGTACTGCGGGAGCAGGGTCTTGCCGTGTCTCTCCACGATGTACTGTTGCCAAAACAAAAACGTTCACGTGACTCGTTCACTCATTCGTTCAATATTATCTGTGCTTAATTTTATTCATCACGACATAGTGGGACGCGAGGAGTGAATGATGTGTGATTTGTTTTATTTTGTCTATTTAGTGTTTCTTCAGGTTTAAATGTGTACTAACGGTGGTTTATTAACAGTTTAATATCTGTGAATGTGCACAAATGTGGGAAAATGAAACAAAGTTGCTGGACGTAACTTCTCGGGATCCTCCAAAAAGTCCACTAAAAAAATCTTAGTAAATGACCACCATTTTACTGAGATTATATTTCATCCCATATCATTTCATTTCATTTTACTCCATATTATCATTCTTAATAAAAATAAGAATAAGATATGACTTAAAGGTCTTAGTTACCAGGTCATAAAATCCATTAAAAAAAAGACATAGTGGTACTACTGCACATACAACTGCAGATTGGAAAGGACTTTTGGCGGGAACACGAGGAGCGAAGTTATGTGAATTGTTTTATTTTGTTAATTTATTCATCAAATTTATTGTTTATTATTTAATTAATCTGACTATGCGACTATGCGTGCCTACTGCGTGCAAGGACTTCATTTCAAGGTCGTATATAATTTCTTTAATGAAATCGGATCTCATCTCCTATATTTTGAGATCATTTTACTTCGTACTCTTGGCAACCCACTAAAACTTCTGCAAATTACGGCATTAACGAATGACTTGTGAATAACGCATCCAACATTCTTTTCATATTTGTAATATCCGGTACTGACCTCGAAAACCAAGTTGTATTGTTGTCGAATTAAAGATTAGATATAAAATGACAATCAAAATATGTACAAACTGATAAATTCTAAATCTCATCATCATCATAATCGGTTGCTCTTGGCAGAGCAGTCGTGGTCATGTGGAATTCTTGCTCATTAAAGCCTTGACACATGTTTTCCACAGTTTGCGAACCGAGGCCCGACGCACACACTCGTTAAGTGGGGTTTCGGTAAGGTCTTTCACCTGATCAGTCCAACGCATGGGGATTCGTCTTAATTCTAAATCTAGCACTGTTCAAAAACGTAGGCAATTTTGATTAACACAAACTTTTATATGTCGCATCATGACCCAAGTGTTAAACACGTACATTTGTAATCAACGTTCTTAAGTTCAGTTCAAACGATTAAGGCTGTAAGCACACGTCTATTTACCGCATTGATAGATTGGCGACAAACTTCACGGAACTGATTGGTTCTTGTAAGAAAACTGCATATAGTTTGCAGACGAAACATTCAAAAGATTCTCTGACAATCTTTTAAAATAATTGGGATTAAAAACAGCAAACGATTTGCACTTTTCCCGAAAAATTTGAAAAAGGTTTGACGCTTTGGTCTTGCAAAATAAAGACCGGACGTCAATCAAGATACTCAGTGGACTTACAAATTGACGGGGACGAAATTGACGAAACGAGACTCCGATAAAAAAAAATACAGCTTACTGGATGATAGTGCTTCAGAAACGAATGCATCCTCTCCACCTCTTCAGAAGTCAGGGTCTTCAGGATGAACAGGCGATCGTAGCTCTGGTAGAACTTCGCACCAGACTTACCGGACGAATCGTCGGGAATCGGCTGCGACCTGCAGACAACAATCATTCGCTTAACCGACATACAAAAATATAATTTCCGCGATATCTACAAAACAGCAATCTGAAAGTATTCATTTGTAATTAATTACAAAGATAAAGATCGTTTGACGAGCAAACATAATCATGTTTTAATCAAACATTTATTCTACATGAAATTAAATTGGTATCAACAAAGCAAGATGGTGAATATTAGCTACGTACTTTCGACATGTCATACACAGATTTTTACTTGAACAACCTTTCCTCTTATATAAACTATTTAAATATATAGATATATTGATGTACATAATAATAGTTATATTACGAAAAACCACAATTCGAAAATCTTCACACGCCAAATAACTACTACAAATAAAACTTTGATGCGTATGTAATTTATATGTAAATTTGCTTTTGTACTGCCGATTTCGGCCGCGGCGACCATTTCAACTCCGTTCCCAGTTGTCACGGCGTGCTCGTGTGCGGCTGAGCTAGCCAATCTTATTCCTAAACGTTCGTGCACATTGCAGACACAGGTGAGCACACCAATAATGAGGTTTGACATATCAATGAGGCGCGTAATGTGTGAAGTCAGCTGAGCGGTTATAAGAGTTGTAGGAGGCAGCAAAAGGCGGGCGTGCTTTCTTTATTCATCGCGACCACATTATTACTGGAGCCCATAGACATCTACAACGTAAATGCGCCTAACCCACCTTGAGATAAGTTCTAAGGTCTCAAGTATAGTTACAACGGCTGCCCCACCCTTCAAGCCGAAACGCATTACTGGTTCACGGCAGAAATAGGCAGGCTGGTGGTATCTACCCGTGCGGACTCACAAAAGGTCCTACCACCAGTAAACAGTAAGTAGTTTTCCATTCTGGTAAACAGTAAGTAGTGATCGTATAGCGTTTTGATACGGAATCCAATCTGTTTTCTTTTCCCTGCCTATTCATTGGTAGCCTAAGAGGTTATTCCAGCAACGCCCAGACGGGTAGGTGATCTCGCAGGGTCAGCCTGAGAATTTGCTAACACTAGCCCTAGCAAGAGCAGTGCTTCGCAGAATCTATCACTGGGTCGGAATCGCGACCCACTGAGAAAATCCAGCGAGAAACTTAGTGAGCTAGCTAGTAAGGTTGCCCACGACTGGTTTATAAGAACAATCCAGACGCGGAAGTTATTCAGGCTGTCGATGGTGACGTGATTCCAGATGTGATGAAACAGATCAGCGGTAAATCTTGTAGCGAATCATTCATTCTTAGGGTATAAGTTGAAATTTTTTATGCGAGTAAAATCAGTGTACTGTGTATCAAATTCTATTTATATTACAAACATAACATTAAATCGCGTTTTAAAGAGAAAGAGAGCATACTTTATTGCACACGAAAAAATATTAATACTGACGATAAGTCAACAGTTACGTGAAATTTGTACAATTAAGAGATCTCTTTCAGACGACCGTTTTCATCTGGCAACACTATTAACACATCACGTTATTTTACAAGATTGAAAATGTACGATAAAAATATGAGTTTATCATACAACGTTATTTAGCATAAATTTTTTAACTTTTTAAAAATTAAACACAAACATGTTTCTTACAAAATTTTGCTCTAAGTTTTGGCAAAATATGTATGACCGCCTGCCTGACGTCAACCCTCCTTGGGAATGCTTTTGTTAACCTTGAGCCTAGAGGAAAAGGTAGCCGAAGAATAAATGGATGGATTGCGTGAAAGACGATATGTGTAAGAGGGAGGTGAGCAAAGAAATGGTAGGTATTGTGATAGAGGAGTATGGAAGGAGAAAACATGATGCGCCGACCCCAGACGACTGGGAGAAGGATAGGAGAATGATGATGTTTCTTACAAAACAGGTTCTTTTAGGTACTCCAAACACCGGTCATCGTTCTCGTCGAATCCGTCGCTTGCGACGAAGGATTCGGCGAGTAAATTAAGACACAGCCCACTGAGTTTCTCGCCAGATCTTCTCAGTGAGTCGCGTTTCCAATCCGGTGGTAGATTCTGTGAAGAACTGCTCTTGCTAGGGTTAGTGTTACCAATGACATCAGATTTGAGCCCCGTGAGCTCACCTACTAGTAAAGGCTACGCTGAAATGGTCTCTCAAGACCATCAGCTTAGGTAGGGAAAAAAAAATACAAAACATATTCCATAAGTGGTTACAACATTAGTTGTAGCTTTGAAGTAGTACTTACACAGGGTACTTTAAAGATACTGGTGATAATATAATGATAAATTTATCATCAATCTTGAGGTGTTAATACATACATATTATATATAGAAGTCTCCATCTTTTACAATAATAATACGAACCATATGCAAATTATTAATTTACATTTCTCTTTATACTTACTTTAGCATGGAGTTCAAAACAGACAGTTCATAAGTCGTGTTTAATGCGCATCAATGCTCACTTACCTACGTGCGAAACGTTCTCGTGTTAATTTAATTGTTTGTGCTTCTGTTAGTGTTTAAAATAAATAACAAAATAATGTAAATTTACAAATAAAAAAAACACAAAAATACGTTAGGTATGTATGTACGGTAGTGACTGTGAACATTCTGTTCGGATCGTAGCTATGTGCCGTGCGACGATATTTTTTTTTGACATGCTGTAGTACATTTTATTTGCGGCAAACAACGTAAGTCGTGGGAGCTTGTAAGTAAAGATCAGGGTCACGTAATTAGGGATCGAGAGACACCGCCCGGACAATTAACAGGCGCCATTCGTTACGTTACCGCTGGCACCCAACAACAAATTGAATGAATTGAACACGTGAAAAGAAAATTCAAAAAAAAAAAAACAAGCTGTTGTTAAACTGGAATAATGCCGACGGTCTTTGAACCAGTGTATCGGTGAGGCTGTGTCAGTACGGAAACATAATTAAATACTGTTACATCAACGGAAAAAAACAACTGAAAACAAAAAAAAAACAAAAAAAAGAAAAAAGAAAAAAAAATCGTACACTAAACTCCGCTGACCTCAGTCGTTTGATCGTCAGACCGCGTTTGACGAAGGCGCTTGCGTCGTGGAATATGCTGTCCTGGTGGAGGTCAGCGACGCCGGTCGGCGCGGTCGCGGACCGCCGCAGCGAAGATATCGCTCTCTTCCGAGCCTTCGAGCGGAGGTAGTTATCTGGATGACTAAACCTAAGGACGGGACCGGGATGGACGCCAGAGCCAATAATACGGGACCAAAAATAAATATAAATAAATAATTCATACATAAATGATAATAAAGACATTTCGATTAGGTGTGTAAACACGCGTGCGGAATCATTTTGTCTCCTTACCTTGTCAGGGATTCTTTGTAGTCCAAATCGTCGATGGCGAATCTGTCCCTCAGATTCCTGAATACGAGCGGGCAGTACTCCTTGACCTTGAAATGAGATGGCATGTTCTCTCTGAAACAACAAAATTTACATTAACAATTTAACCACTGGTGGCCCAGCAACACCACCAATCTAAAACTAATAAAAATAAAATTTAAACTGACATTGACATGTTTAATCTATATTTGAATTTTGTATCTTTATTTGGAAGTACTTTGTTTATTCAAATTCGACACAATACATAGTTTAAAAGGTTTCATCACTTTATCGTATTATTGACATTAAAACTAGATTAGATTAGATTAACATTTCCATAAAAGGTAACATAGTAATTTTCATTGTCTTAAATAAGGAAGACAAAGGGATTGATGATTTTTTTTCCTTTCAACAGCTAGTGAATCACTGTAGCAACATTCGGGAAAAACCAGAGCAAAGATAGACCTAAAACCAAATGGGACATGGCATTTATCTATGAATAAAGTGCATACACTTGTGTCAGGACTACGGTATTGCTTTGTATTCTTCGTAAATTAACAATTTTCTATGACTTTACAATAATCTTACTTGTTGAACAGGTGGTTGTCGACTTTGAGCTTGGAATAAGCCCTAAAATCATCAGGCAGTAGCATAACTGGTATTGAAACATGACTCAGTTCATTAATCTGTAACAAATTTATTGAAGAAATCAATTAAGATTCACCTAATAGATTAATTTTATATTGATAATTTGTTTTTTTTAATGTACGTAATATATTAATGAATTTTAATTATTAAAACTTATAATATTGTTCTAAATCTCTCTTACTGTTTATTATACATTGTTGTAAAAAATAATTAAAAATAATATTATTTTTAACTAATTTAAAAAAAGGTAAACGTAAGTTTAAAAAAATCATAAGTTTTCTTCCAGAATAGCCCCAGTATATAGTAAAATGGAATATGTATGAGAGGAAAAAGTGAACAATATTAAATATGATTAAAATAATGACCAAATACATTTTAATTATATGAAAAATTATTTATTTAACACAAACATATCTGTAGTATACATTTATTAAACTATATAAACATATAAAAATGTCTAGTCAAGTTATGTACTAAAGAATGACACCTTTGTCACTGCAAAAGCCCCTGCGTGTGTTGAGATTTGTGGGTTCAACACTTCAAGAAATGTTTAGTTTTGCAGTAATTAGGAAGAAAAAGTCAAGTTGGCTTATATAATTTCGGAAGTCGTCAACAGAGCAGTGGTAGTTTAAGCCTTGACAAAAACTTAAGACAAGGAGGTGCAGAGAAAAATGAAAAAAAAATCATTAAAATTTAAGTACATAAACAGTGCGTATTTCATTAAGAAAACTCTTCCAATACACTTGTGATTATAGGAATAGTCATTAAAAGTGATGAAAGAGAAAAAGTGGAAGTACAGTCTCAGGAAGATATAAGAAAAGAACATCTCCTATTGTAGAAAAGCCTCTAGAGCAGCTTGAACAATCCGGGGAGCTCTATTAGATTTTTTAAAATGAAGTTGTTTATAGTCGTTTTTGTCTTTACAGACCAGATAATCAAAGTGCCCACCCCGACAGATAGATAAGAAAATATCGCGATCTCTCTGTGATTAACAATAACACATGTTCAAATGTCCGGAGACCGAAAACGAAGTGGAAGCATAAATTCAGTTCATGCATCTAGGTTTTTTCTTTTTTATTTCTGTGTTAACTGGGTAGTTTCCGTTGACATAAAAAGTATTTTAAGTGATGTAAATAATTTGAATTGTAATGATATTTAAAAAGCTATTGACTAGCGGAAACAACGTATTTTAACAGCGTATTTTAGTACTTTTATCTATTAAATCTAAAAAAAACTGTTTATTCTATTTTAAATCAATGGCAATGGGGCAGATTGCGATTATTGAAACTCTGCCAAATATACATACTAAAAAGGCGAATTCGGCAACGAAATCAGGAATTTAAATTGAATGGAAGTAGGTAGTGGAAGTAAACAGTGCGAAACCACAACAAACCTGTATTTGGANCCGTATTTTAGTACTTTTATCTATTAAATCTAAAAAAAACTGTTTATTCTATTTTAAATCAATGGCAATGGGGCAGATTGCGATTATTGAAACTCTGCCAAATATACATACTAAAAAGGCGAATTCGGCAACGAAATCAGGAATTTAAATTGAATGGAAGTAGGTAGTGGAAGTAAACAGTGCGAAACCACAACAAACCTGTATTTGGAGAAATGACATAATGCGAACATGCACCAAAAATGAAATCGGATTAACAACCGATTTAATTAATGAAATGAAAAATAAATACTACCGTGTGATTAACGCCCCACATAAAAACGGACAGTAACGGTTCATTCGCACGAAACAATTTCACTTTTTGATGTTTCACACGAATATGCTTCTTTTTCAATTTACTCGGTCCAGTCGTAGGAACGGACATTTTGGATTTGTTTACAACTTAAAAGACAGTCAATACACAAGTAATACTCTAATTAAATTCGATAATGGCAAGTCAAACCATTTTGATTTCACAGCAAATTTAAAAAACTACGAAAAAATTAAAAATTTAAAGATTTTTAATAACGAAATTCAACAGCCATCTACAAAGACAACAGTTCTTTGACAGATTGATTAATCTGTAACTTATCAATCCAATGAAATGTAAGGTAGGCACTACACGCTTAAACCTTAGAGCATAGACAATATATTTTAGCGGTATCGAAAACTACCATACTGAAAAATCGAATAAAATCAACAACGCGTCTCGTATCCCTTTTGTTAATATGAAGTTATTTAGGACTAAGCTACTGTAACAAAACTGTATTTTTCAGTAACGCCAACAGCTCACTCTTAACTTAAATTAATCAAAGAAGCCACTTTGCTTAGAACACGACGATCNCAGCCCACTGAGTTTCTCGCCGGATCTTCTCAGTGGGTCGCGTTTCCGATCCGGTGGTAGATTCTGCGAAGCACTGCTCTTGCTAGGGTCAGTGTTAGCAACTCTCCGGTTGAGCCCCGCGAGCTCACCTACTAACGTTAGGGCGAAGCTGAAATAGCCTCTCAAGGCTATCAGCATAGGTAGAAAAAAAAAAAAAAAAAAAAAAAAGTATCCCTTTTGTTAATATGAAGTTATTTAGGACTAAGCTACTGTAACAAAACTGTATTTTTCGGTAACGCCAACAGCTCACTCTTAACTTAAATTAATCAAAGAAGCCACTTTGCTTAGAACACGACGATCGCTCAAACATAAAACGAAAAATGAAATAATGCCATGCGATAATTTGTGTGATTGTGAATTATGAAGAATCTATTACACCACAGACAGAAGATAATAATATTCAGTAAGATATTTACGATAGTAAGACATGAATTGATAATGATAATAAAATCATTGATTCAACTAGAAAATTATTATTGTTTGATTTGTAATGGTATTACGTGTTACTATTTTTTGAAGTAGAATTAAGTAGATAAAATATATCACACCTGTTATTAACGTAAAAATGTAGTTTTTCCTATCGATTTCCAAACATCAAAATTGAACATTAAAAGACTCACGAAATGTGTATCAAAAATGTCTGGATTAATGTGATTAAATTTCAAACTAAATAATAAATTTTCAGTGAGTTTCTGTTGCTTACCCCTAACTAGCATGTAACATTCCCGTATTTCTAAAACCACGCAACATAGGCTTCTAGATTAATTTAATTTTCAATGCACTTTATAGAATGGTTAACAACACTTTTGCTTTAATAAATCTTCTTTTTTTTTTGTCAGGAGGAAATCGCCGGACTCCCACCCTCCACTGGGGATGGAGGGTGGGGCATGTCGGAGTCGAATCGACTAAAACCTCCTGTCGCTTAACAACCAACGTCCAACCCTCGCATGAGACAGAACTCATGAAAAGGCAAGGGGAGGAGAGTGAAGCGTTTAGTGCGGAGCACATCTCTCCCATCACCCTCCCCCTCGGGACGCCAGGCCAGCGATCGTCGGCGCCACGACCACCCTCTCGGTCGGCAGGCTGTCCGAAGCCCGCCTAGATGGCGCCGGTTTGAATAGGTTATCCTACGAAATACCCCGCTGGGTCATTTCCCCACGAGATTCGCCTCCCTGGCCCCCACTCGACGGCGGCGGGCTTGTGCGTCTCTCACGCGCCCCGCCGCCTCCTTCTGCGAGATGGTGCACTCGCAGAAGTCGAGCATCGCCTTCCACGACTCGTCGTTGCCGAGCATCGATGCCACAACACTCGGCAACGACAAGTCGTTTCCTATTTTTGCGACGAGTACACGGCGCCACCCCTCCCATGCGGGGCAGGCAACGAGCGTGTGCTCCGCCGTGTCCAAGTCGCAACCACAATGGTAACACTCTGCCGTTGGCTCGGCTCCGATCCGGTGCAGGAACTCACCGAAGCAACCATGCCCAGTGAGCACCTGCGTGAGCCGGAAAGTGAGGCGTCCTCTGTCACGATTCACCCAATCCACAAGAATCGGGCGAATCGCCTCGACGGTCCTACGACCAGCCGAAGGATCGGCCAGCCGCCTGGACCATGACTCCAGCACGGACCGCCGAGATTNCAGTGAGCACCTGCGTGAGCCGGAAAGTGAGGCGTCCTCTGTCACGATTCACCCAATCCACAAGAATCGGGCGAATCGCCTCGACGGTCCTACGACCAGCCGAAGGATCGGCCAGCCGCCTGGACCATGACTCCAGCACGGACCGCCGAGATTGGGCCTTAATAAATCATAGCACTTGGAAGTCTCAAATTTAGGCCCTTTAAGAAAGAACCTTTACCCATTGTAAAAAAATATGTTCGTATTGTCAAATTAACGATAGATTTTCGTGAAAGCTCATCTAATAAGTAAGTAAAAATAAAGTTATCGATTGAGTAAGGAATTCTTCATGAGCTTTTTATTCAATTTCGTAATTAGCAGATTCCCATCTAGTAGGAGTGGTGAGGCGGCGCAAGGTGGCTCCTGTGCACCACTCACGGTGTATCTCCCATGCGGGACGTCCTGCGGGATCTGTCCGGGGATGGAATCCCGTCCTATTATCAGGACGGGTACCGGCGACGGCGAGCCCTTGGCGCGCACTTTGCGGTACCGTGCATTTCGTGGAGTCGGAGTGGTGGAGCTCGATGGGGCTTAGTCGGTAGTTGGTTTTCCAGGGTAGCTCTTGCGTGGCTGAAACCATGCAGTGTCTCACGCGCCTTTCTCAAGGCGTAGTCTCCCGGAAGGAATTGGAAGAAGAGGAGGACCCCAATCTTCCTCTTCTTCCTCTTTTTCTCTGAAGGTGCCGGAGTCCAACATAACCCGGTCTGTTACCCCCCTCGACTGGGTATCCGTAAATGGATTCCCCAGCGTTAAAAAAAAGGAATATATATTTAATAAGTATGTACTATGTAACTACTACAACCAACATACAACTTACAATCCTTTCAGTTTGATTTAATTGTGAACTGTAAATATGTTTTAGTTCAAATCTAATTCATTATTTTATCCCTAAGCTGCAGTTTGTAACAAGACGTCCTATATCTTAAATATATTAAAATACTATACACTACATATCATATTTTATTAAACTATATCATCATTTACTTGCCTGTCGGTGGCTTGATTTGTAAATAACTAAGGAAAGGAAAGAGAATCGAACTTTATCTAACTACATGCCATAGATAATGCACTTAACTACGTGCTAATCTGTGGAGACTGGAATGCGATTAAAAAAGAGGACTTTTTGGCGGGAACGCGAGGAGTGAAGTTGTGTGATTTGTTTTATTTTGTCTATTTAGTGTTTCTTCAGGTTTAAATGTGTAATAATGGTGGTTTATTAACTGTTTAATATCTGTGAAAGTGCACAAATGTGGGAAAATGAAACAAAGCTGCTGGACGTAACTTCTCGGGTTTCTCCAAAAAGTCCACTGAAAAAATCTCAGTAAATGACCACCATTTTACTGCGATTATATTTCATCCCATATCATCTCATTTCATTAAATTTCATCCCAGTTGATTAATGTCTCAAATTAATCATCTTCATTTCATTTCACTCCATATTATCATTTTTCATAAAATTAAGAATATAAAGTAAAATAAGACATGACTTAAAGGTCTTAGTTACCAGGTCATAAAATCTCTTAAAAAAAAAAAAATTATTGGTCAGGACTTTTTGGCGGGAACGCGAGGAGTGAAGTTGTGTGATTTGTTTTATTTTGTCTATTTAGTGTTTCTTCAGGTTTAAATGTGTAATAATGGTGGTTTATTAACTGTTTAATATCTGTGAAAGTGCACAAATGTGGGAAAATGAAACAAAGCTGCTGGACGTAACTTCTCGGGTTTCTCCAAAAAGTCCACTGAAAAAATCTCAGTAAATGACCACCATTTTACTGCGATTATATTTCATCCCATATCATCTCATTTCATTCAATTTCATCCCAGTTGATTAATGTCTCAAATTAATCATCTTCATTTCATTTCACTCCATATTATCATTTTTCATAAAATTAAGAAAATAAAGTAAAATAAGACATGACTTAAAGGTCTTAGTTACCAGGTCATAAAATCTCTTAAAAAAAATTAAAAAAGACTTTTGGCGGGAACCCGAGTAGTGAAGTTGTGTGATTTATTTTATGTTGTCTATTTAGTGTTTCTTCAGGTTTAAATGTGTTATAACGGTGGTTTATTAGCTATTTAATATCTGTGTAAGTGCACAAATGTGGGAAAATGAAACAAAATCGCTGGACGTAACATCTCGGGATCCTCCAAAAAGCCCTTTGAAAAAATTTCAGTAAATGACCACCATTTTATTGAGATTATATTTCATCCCATATCATCACATCTCATTTAATTTCATCCCAGTTGATTAATGTCTCAAATTAATCATCTTCATTTCATTTCACTCCATATCATTTTTCATAAAAATAAGAACATAAATTAAAATAAGACATGACTTAAAGGTCTTAGTTACCAGGTCATAAAATCCCTTAAAAAACGATTGAAAAATGATGATCAATTATGTTTTTGGAATCGAATAAATACAATTATTTTTATGTATAATTGTGATCCATCAATAAATAATATAGAAAAATGGTTAAACCGAGTCCATTTGTGTATTGGGCTCAAACAGAAAGTACCATTTCACTGAAAATTGATTTGAAAAATGCATTAAAACCTGATGTGAAAGTTCTCGATAATAATGTAATATTTACCGCAAAGGGCACAGGAGCCCGGGGTGAGAGTCAATATGAGTTTAATCTGGATTTATTTTCAAATATTAAAAGTGTAAGTTACTAAAATTGCCTAAAAGAATATGTTTTCCATGAAAAAGTACAATCACTAATCAATTAATGTACATACACACCAATAAATGATTTTTACATCAAATAGCTGAACAAGTTTTTTGTCATGATATTTTTTCCGAATTTTAAACTTTAAAAGGCTGCAAAAATGTCGCTTAAACCAAATAACCTTTCACCCCTCGATAGATATGTAATTGAGCTATAAGAAAACATGATAATATGACAATTTGGTATAGAAAATGTACAAACACTATATAGAAATAAATTTATGTCAATAGATGTACATAAGTCTTTGTTTTTCCATGACTAAGGTTATTCTGAATTTTATTAAATTTAAATATATGAATTTCTTTAAAGTTTTACTTTCAGATTCATGCATTAATAAATCAGAATAATGAAAAACACCAAATTTCAACTCACGGGCTACCACCAGTTAACACTTTATCAACTGATAACAAAACAGCCGTTAACTATTAATTTTAGCTATCAATAGTATTCAGTTTTTATTAGTAGCCATATACTAATCTCTCCCAATGAATTATAATAATATTCGCGCATTCAACTAAGCTTGCCCTATTGAGTGGCAGCCTCAACTTAGACCAGTTGATAAAGTGGTAAAAATATGAGAATTTTAAAATAACCTTTTTAGTGTTAATATAATCATATCTTTTTTTTTATAATTATAATAATTATGTATATCGACGCTTGAAAGGCAAACGTGACTAAGCGACAATAACTGCTTTGTACATAAATGATAGGGAATAACCATATTCAATGTGCAAAAAAAATTATTTCTAGGTCTTAAAATCATTTCAATCATACAGCTAGATTTGTTAAAATAGATTTTTTTTCAGGTATTTCTCATGTATATTTTAGATTAATTTCAACTTTTAATTGGTCTACTGTACAGTTCACGCATCATCGCTTAGTCATGTTTGCCTTTTAAGCGTCGATATTAATTTTAATAGCCAATTTTATTTTTTGAGTAAACATTGAATTGAAAAATACATTAACATTTTTTCCATCAAGCTTGAGCCCGGTGGAGAACATATTACACTTCGAGTGTTCGAAAACAGAATCGAGCTGATCTTGCAAAAGGTGAAACCTGTATGGTGGCCTCGTCTCACAGCACAGCCACAAAAACCTGCCTGGTTGAAGGTACATTAATTAATTAATTATAATATGATATTTAGTTAACATTGATTATTAAAAACAAACAAAAGACTAAGAATAAATATTCAAGATGAAATTTTCATCTCGTTTTTTACCATCACATGACATGAAACAAGAGCTTGAAGAGCCATCAAGCTCAGGAATGAAACTTCCCTCCACTTTGTTTCCTGAGCAATATGTTAAAAGAAAGACATTTCTTCTTACTGGTGGTAGGACCTCATGTGAGTCCACGCGAGTAGGTACCACCACCCTGCCTATTTCTGCTGTGAAGCAGTAATGTGTTTCGTTCTGAAGTGTAGGGCAGCTGTTGTAACTATGCTGAAATCTTAGAACGTATATCTCAAGGTGGGTGTCGCATTTACGTTGTAGATGTCTATGGGCTCCAGTAACCACTTCACATCTGGTAGGCTGTGAGCTCATCCCCCATGTAAACAATAAAAAAAAAGCTACATCCTCATACTGGGCGTTGTAGCATCCCAACCTATTTACTAACATATCCTTCAAGGCAATAGTAGTCTTTTTAAAGATAAGTGTAACTATTTCCTGAGGCTGGATTCAAGCTCATCATAAAACTTTTTATTGCCTTTGAAGACAATATCTAATTACATTTTGGATACATGATGCTGACCTCACCTATGGAATTAAGAAAGGTCAAAGATTTGTTCTTGTGTAATGCTTACAAAATCTCTCATATAATTTGAGAACTGATATTGTGCATGGAGATAATCCATAATATTTTATCTTTTTTCATACTTATATATGTATACAGATATACGGTGTGATAAACATTTATCTCTAGATAAAATTGAATTAAGTAAAGCACATAATTAATCAAGCATACATTTTTTTTGTACCAAAGAAGTTAGTTTAAAACATTTGATTCTATAAATTTTGGTACATTTAAAATTCACATAATAATATTTTTGCTTAATTTGTCTAATTAAAATGATTATCTTTTAACATATAAGTTAATAAATTTTAGTCTCACTTTATTAGAGCACTTCATTTTATTTTAAGAATAAAATTATAACAAAAATTGTTTTGATTACTGTTGTTTTCAGATAAATTTTGATTTGTGGAAATCTGAAGACGGCCAGGAAAGTGACGAAGAGAAGCGTGACGTAATGAGAGACTACCCAGGAATGTATGATCAGCTACACCAAGAAGAAATGGGATATAGGAAAGGTAATTATTATATTAATAACAAAAGTTTAATTTTGCCAGGAGATGTATGTTAAATCTGTAAGAGTTGGCAAATATGTCATAGATATATCCTAAAGCATAAATTTTAACATTTTTTATACTCATCATTGTAATAAATACAAAACATTATCGTAAATTTTCTTAGGAATACCTCGTGCTGTTAGCTCCTATACCCATACTGCACACTGCACACTGTCAAATACTGCGCTCTGTCAAAAAAACAACTAGCCATTTTGACTAGACTAGACTAGGTTTGAAAACTAGACTTAATATACATATAGACTAACTACAGATACCGTTCTTTAAAACTAAATTCAAATCTATTTAAAATATATCTTTGTAAATAATTTCAATTTGACTTTTCTAGAAGACCTCAAGAAAGTTTACCTGTTTATCTACAATCTTTTCCAATTTGTTGGATACATGTATGTAATGGCGGTGATGGGAGTGCGTTATGTCAAACTTGATTATGATTCTGTGACTGATACATATGAACATGTTGGTTCGGCCATGAAATTTTTACAGTTAATGCAATATCTTGAAGTGCTACATCCTATGTTTGGTTATACGAAGGTGAGAGACTTGATTTCTCTGTTAGATATACCATATTATATATCAGAATACCCAATATTTAATTTTTAACGATTTTTTCAATGACGTTCCAAATTTTTTTATTACTTTTCATTTTACAGCATACTGAGCTATATAGGAATTATTCCAAAAGCTGAACTAGTAATAATATATGACTGGACTAGACTGACATGTCTGTGTTTTTTTACTAAAAATTAGTTTAATAGTTGGGATATTCTTAAAATTATGCAAATTGCTGATGATAAGTTCACCGTTTTCTCGAATACAAGAAAATTAATAACAAAATAAATATATAAATGAAAACAAAACATACATTAATAGGTAGTCTATTTTAAATTACTATTAATATCATATTTCTAGGGTGGAGTTCTAGTACCATTCCTACAAGTTACGGGCAGAGCCTTTGTACTGTTTATAATGATAGATGCTGAACCAAGAATGCAGACAAAACCAGTTGTCTTCTATCTATTTGTTGTGTGGACATGCATTGAAATTGTTAGGTGAGTATTTGTAATCTATAAAAATAAAACATTTAACATCCAATAAATTTGTGATATAAATAGTAAAATAAATAATGCATAGGATTACTGAGCATGGCAATATTATATGAACTGAACCTATTTTTAAAAGCAGCATTCGGGTTGTTCCCCCTTTAGTTTAAATATTTTACTGACGCTGTAATAAGCATTCCTAAATGCAGTTGCAGGTTTGATTTTTACATCGGACAAAATCAAAATTAGTCCAAAATTATAAAAACCTACAGGCTTCCTCTAGTTTATTTCTAAAAATAAAACTTTATATTATAAATACATAATAATATACTCTATATGATCATATGCTCTAAAACTATGACATTATATTCTATTTTTATGATTAAAATTCATTTCAGATACCCTTACTACATGTCCCAGTTGTACAAGAAGGAATTTGCCTTGTTAACATGGCTGCGATACACATTGTGGATACCGCTTTACCCAATGGGTATAGTATGTGAAGCTACAATAATACTCCGCAACATACCATACTTTGAAGAAACTCAGAAATACACAGTATCGCTGCCAAACGCCTGGAACTTCGCCTTCCACATGCCAACATTCTTAAAAATTTATTTATTAGTCCTAACATTCCCCGGTATGTTTCTAGTAATGAAACATATGCATCGGCTTAGAAATATCAAACTCAGACCGAAAATTGTCATTAAGAAATCTAATTAGAATATTTGTAGAATTATTATATCTAGGATGCCTTAATGGAGATAATGTCGTATGTACCAATTTATTTAAAACAGAAACACTTATAAAATTGCAATCTTTTATCAAAATTCACGATAAAACTACAAGTTTCTTCAATAAAAATACAAAATAAAAAAAATCCTGGAGAACATTTTTTCTTAGATGTTTTGTACATATGATATTATCCTTGGCGAATGGGAAACTTTGCTATTTAAATCAGCATAAGCATGGCCCATTACTATTTTAAATCTAGCATTATCAGGTTACCTCTTTTAAAAATGATTTTTTGTTCTTGTGTTCTCTGTGTTTCTTACACAGATTGTGTTAATAGTTGGTATAGTGACGGTTAGCATATCCGGGAAGGATTCTGTCGTCTCTGGAATGTACGGCAGGTGGCGCATGTGTAGTTTTATCAGCTGGGTGGTTTTCATATAATATTTAAGTGATAGTCACAGTTATCACGGTGTTGGGTTTCAAGGTATCAACATGTGTTATAAATGTTATATTACAACATTTCACATATTATATTTGTAGTCCCAAAGAACCATTTTTGTGTTTCAACATTGATTTTCCAATGAAACCATACATTGAATGTAAAATAGAATGAAATCTGTTGTGTTATAGTTGTATTGCTATTTAGACATTTAGCTGTAGTAATGTTTTGCAAACCAGCAGTTAGATACCAAATATTAGTTAATTTTACAAGCATTAAGCTTTTTGTTACATTTTGAATTTTACACTTTTTATTTATTTATTAATCTGTGGTGGCCCTCTACAGTGTAGGGCGTCAACACAGATTCTAAATAACGTTCCAATCTTGCGTGAGTGCTTTAATATCGTCTCGATATCCCCTCCTCGGTCGATAATATTGACATTGTAGAGCCCATGTAGATTTTTACTAAACTAAACTTGTGTTGTCCCGACTGTCATGTGTAGTTCTACTTAAGGTATTTTTTTTCCTACCTAAGCTGATAGCCTTGAGAGGCTATTTCAGCGTAACCTTAACTAGAAGGTGAGCTCACGGGGCTCAAACCTGATGATGTCAGGAAAATATTATTAACAATCACGTCATTAACTTTTCATATCATGTTTGCAATAATGTATTGGTACTTTAATGTTTACATGACAAGAATTCTGTGTTCTAAGATTTTTCAACGATCACTGAAGTCCTCAAAAGCATGCTTGCGCATCACTCTTCCAGACTTTTTGATGCGTATAGCAGCTTCTTTATCCTGGTTTACGTGGGATGAGATAACATAACCCAACTGAATGATTTCTCATGGATATATACCACTTGACGTACTTATTCAAGTTTATCACTATTGGTCCCAATTTCGGGTCTCTAAGTTTTCATCCCAAGGTCGATCTCGAACTTACCCTTGCTCAAATACTCGAGCATTGATATTAATTAAGATGTCGGGGTGCAAAAGTTAAACACCTATCGATGTAAGGAAGAAACAAACTTTCAAATAATTTTCTAAACCTCTGACATGTCTATAATGAACAAGATCTGTGTTGTGTTATTATTTTTTCATGTTACGTTTAATTGTGCATTTATTTAAGTATATAGGTGTGTTGTAATTGATGATTTTTATATTTTTGGTATGGAACTGGCAATTAAAATGTTTTTGTTGTAAACTGTGTCTTATTTGACTAGGTCTACGAAATGACTGGCTGTGTAGGCTTAGAATAACACTACTGAGTCTCTTCGCGTGGGTGTCGTAAAAATCGACTAAAGGAATCACCGGCATACTATGATCATTAATCAGTATAAAAACACACTATTTCTGCAGCGTCGCTGTCATACTTATACGTTCCCTTTTGAATCATGCCCTATTCCGGAATAATTAGCGTCTAGTAAATGTGTTTCGCGTATCTTGTAATCCCGGAATGGTGGCAACTTTAAGGCCGTATGTAGCTTTAAAAAGTCTGTCAATAAACATTCCCTTAGAAAAATAAAACTAATTTTATTTCTAATTTTTTTATAATTGAACTAAAAGCTCTCCAATTATTGCTTCTATACATATACCTTTTTTTACATAACAGTATTGAATAAATCTTGATAATTTATGAAAGAAGCTTGATGTTAGCGCGTTTGTTCCACTCTTTGATGTCACTGTGTGCATAGTACTCTTGGAAGATTGGTTCGACCAACTGGTCGGGGGGAATAAGTTTGTAGACGCGTTCTCCGTAGTAAGTACCGACCTGTAGATATTAAAAAAAAAATTACAACCATTTCCACATACAGGTACTTCACTTGTAGCAAGTTACCAAGGCACATAGAGTTCACAATATTATTATCATTATCTATCATTATCTTGTAATAAAGAATTACTTTCAGTTGCATTGGTAGAATAGCTTTACTACTACAAATCGGAAGGCAAGTTCGTACCGTTGTGCTGAAATAAATAGTGATGATACCCTGTTCTATCGAGTCTTACTTACAATATTATTAGAGTAGTACTAGCATTATGGAAAAATATTTGATATAATATGAAACAAAACTACTAATATAATGAAAGAAAAAATATCTAAGCATAAATTACTAGTAGTTTTAGAAAATTCTGTAGAATCTCCATTTTTATGCCATTTAGTCTGCTGAAATAATATGAAATAAGAAAGGACTACCCCGTGCCATTAATAATTATTCATCAGTAGTATAAGGTTACATAACATAGTGCACGTGTCTATGTGGGTCCCAAAAGGTGGTCCAAGAACCTGTTGAAGGTTGCAGGGATCCATTGGAGACAGGCAGCGCAAGGACCATTTGTTGTAACAAGGCTAAGTCCAGCAATGGACATCTGTCAGCTGAAAGATAGTATAATGTCAATCACCTCCCATCCGGGAACGTCTCGCATCAGCTCTGCCTCAGCATCCCTGTTCCTACGGAGCTGCTTTAGGTATTCCCTATCTCTTTCTGCCAGTAGAGCAGGGTATATCGCCATTTTAGCGGATCTCATCTCAATCTCATCCTTAAGAATTCTCTTGTAAGTTATGTTATAGAGATATATAGAACCAATTGTCATTCCAATGAACCCAGCAAACATAGTATATCCTGAAAACAGTAAGCAAGAAGTATTCAATTAAAAATCCATTTTAATAATTAGTGTTATATTTAATTGGTTCATCTTATTTACTTTATCAATTTTGTGCTTACACAACTTTGATTTAAAGAAGACTAAATCAAATTTAATTATTAAAAATTATATTGTGTGCTGCTTTGTGTAAAAATTATGACATTATTTGGAAGCTATGCAGTGTGTAATACTCATTTCTTCGTCGCCCATTTCTGCTGCATAGTCAAGCCATTTCTGCTGCTGCTACACTCATTTTAGTTGAATTGATAAGACAGCTATATTTTGACTTACACCTGATGACTTATATCACATTATAGTTTCTCTGAGTTACTCCGCATAGTTAATATGTGTTTTAAGAATTTTATTTTTATTATAGACTGGATTGTACCAAACAGGTTTAAGAAGTACTTTGTAATAAACAATTAAATTCTTGTCTATTAACAGTTCAATATTACTGTCTATTTGCGTGTACCTATGCGAGTTTAAAGCAGATGTTATTTAAGAATACTGCATAATGATAACAGCCTTCAAGTGTTCTACTCATTCTACTAAAGGGGCTAAAGGACTAAAGGGCCATTGGAATTAAGGTAGTGTATTTAAATAATGTTAAATTGATGTTGAAGACATTAAATCTCTTATCTAAGAGATTTAATGTCCGAGCACTTTATCTACGGATCTTTTGGTCATCTTCCTAGTATGTTCTCAATATATCTTCTTTTTATGTATATATATATATATATTGTTTATTGAATCAAAGTTAGACTTCTGTGGTTTATACTGTATACTATGTAAACAAAACAAAACCTTAGGAAGATTTACCCTTTCTATAATTTTTTTTATTTCAATGAAAGTTTAAATTAATTATTTATATGTCCTGAGGCACAATTCTAGCAGTGTTTCAATTAGTTTTCTAGCATTAACAAAAATATAACCTATATGACTAGGTTACATAATTAGTTTCCAAACAAATTATTGTGATTTTATTATTTTACTTACCGCTGAAATAAGATTTAGCGGGGATCCTTTTAAATGGAATTGGCTTGTAGCCCCCCGGAGGGGGCAAATCTTGTTTTTTAGCCACCTGAAAAGCTTCAGCCATCTTTGGCTGGATTTTGAGTTTTGACTTTTGACAACCGCTGTCAAACAAGTTCTTAAAAACTTTTTACTGTCTCTTTGGATAGGCAATGGAATTTAATTCAATAACTTTGAATTTCTGAACATGTTGGGTAGAAGATGTTGAGGAAAATAAAAATGCCAACGACTTAATAAGAAAAGAGTCTAATAGGCCTATGATTAAAATGTGAGAATAGGCAGGTAATTATTTGTAACCCCTAAAAAGTAAGATGAGATATGATAGGAATAAGATACTACTACTACGGAATGTCTAACCACAGTATATCCACAGAATATATTTTTAATTATCCTGTGCATGGCATCGTTGTCTTTGTTATTAATCTCCATGGTAATTGAGTTCAGCAATATTAAAATTTAATAAAGAGTGGCACATTTTTCTAAATCCATGGAGGCTGCTACGGATGAAAGTGTTCAAGCCGATTTACCTGAACCAGAAAATGAAGATAGTGAACCCCGAATCAGACCATTGGAAAGGATTAAGCTCCACCCTAAATATCCCATAGAGCCATCTGCTTATGGAAAGGGAAAGAACTTCAGTCGACCCTGGATATTACAAGATGGACGAACAGTTCCCGGAATTGGCAGCGAAATGCGGGAAAATTATCAAATACCAAAAAGACCTCCCCATACAGAAGGTAAATAATCTTACTTGCTTAACTGTCCTCTGAAATCCTATTTAGAATTTAATTTTTCTTATGACTCTAGTTGACCAAACGAGCCCGGTGCTGAGTGGTTACTGGATATACCCGTTATATTTGGTATGAACGTTTATAGCTCCTGACAGCTACGAAGCAATGCCGCATTATAATTTAAATAGTAGAACATAAACTAAATATTGCATCTAAATTCGAGTTCAATACTTAGATGCATTTCAAGTTATCGTCATGCACGCCGAGATGTCTATGGTCTATTATAGATTAAATTTAGGGCGAAAATACAGAATCCGTTTTTTTTTCCCCTACCTAATCTGCTAGCCGTGAGAGGCTATTCCAGCGTAACCTTAACTGTAGGTGACCTCACGGGGCTCAAACCGGGAGTCTTGATAACACTGGCCCTAGCAAGAGCAGTGTTTCGCAGAATCTACCACCGGATCGGAAACGCGACCCACTGAGAAGATCCGGCGAGAAACTCAGTGGGCTGTGTCTGAGGGTTAATTTACTCGTCGAGCCCTTCGTCACAAGCGATGGGTTCGACGAGAACGGTGACCGGTGCTTGAGGTACCTAAAAGCACCGTTAGTGGATCAGGAGGATCCGAGATGACGTGTTTGGGGCGACGTCGACTGCTTTCCATTCTCTCCGCAGGATCGGGAATGTAGTTACCGGCGGCCACGATGAGAGGGTTCTCGTGTCGTGCCGCTTTATCGAAGTGGATCCGTTGAGTTGTCTGTTCATCTTATTTATACTGTTTAATATTCTTTTTTTTATACATTTATTATAGGTATACGTAAGCGTATGCTCACGGACTTCTTTTGGGAACAAATGCTAGATGAAGTCATCGAAGAGTTGGCTACTTCACAACCCGTTTCTGAATATTGCACGGAATACGATGCCAATTACATCAAAGATGAGTTCGAGCCTCGCAATTTGGAAGTGGCTGCAGATAAGAATGTTAACATTTTAATGGCAACATCTAATTGTGCACTAATTAAATTTGATTAACATTTCGATTACCTTCAGTCGGTGGTACATTTTCCGACATTTACTATATTACAAGGGTTCACGTGACCTTTGACCGGCTTGGGTCACGTGGTCGCTCGCTGGCTATATATTTCCCGCGCTCATGGTACGAACTAGCAGGACAGGTCAAATTCCGGTCAAAGTTGACCTCTGCTATAAGGCTTCATGATAGATGCCGCAGTTGTTTCAGTTGAGGCCATTGGTTCGAGCATTCGGTGTCTGGGCGATCTGGTTTTTTTTTATATACGTTTCTTACCAACTTATATATTAAATAGGTACGTAGCGTAATAGAAGAACATCAAGGCTCCGAACGTTTAAGCTTAAACATTTAAATTTTATTTTTAGAAGTACGCAATGCAGGTTTACATTATTGTGCCAAGTTAAATGAGTCGTCTATTATCAAAGGTGGCAATCTGTACATTTGGACAAAAAAAAATTATTGATATGTCAATACAGATTGATTTGAATATAATCGTCACCTTCAAAGAATACGGTTCAAAACCTGCATTAAATAAAGGTTAATAGTTAACCTGTTATTTATCTAAGATGTCGTTCCGAAGAGTTTTGTGACTGCCAATGGAATACAAAGTCAATAATTCGTTTTTCTGTATTACCAATCATTGTCCAAAAGTCAGATTGCCGGCTTTGATAATAGTCGACTCAAATACAACTTTTATAACACACGTTGCAAGTGGCAGGGTTGCGAACGACACTTCGATAAAGAAAAAAAATGTAAATAAAAAATATTTTGTTAAGCATTGCAAGAAATTTTGTTTACAGATGCACTTGAAATATCCACTTTACGGTACGGGCTCTAGCGCAATTACTTTCTATAGTGAAACTGCCAAGAAGACTGGCCCGGTTTGTTTAATCACTATTTTATGAATAAAATGAGTGTGGTAATTACGAATAATAATCCTTTAATAATAATTCTTTCAGGGTGAAATCTTAGAAAAGTTCCGAAGATGTCAGTATTTCACTAAACCAATGGAAGAAAGACTCGACAATGGTTGGGTTTTGTAATTTTTGTTCGCATTCATTTTTGTTTTCTTTTGGAAGAGCTATACAAATATACTTAACTATGCATTAAAATAATTTGTGACGTATACGATTATTTTTAATGAATTCGAGTTTTTGCCTACCTACCTGCCTATAAAATTGTACAGATTTACGATATTGTACAAATTTAACATTAAATTTGTACAATATCGTATGTGCATACTTTACTTTTATGTATACTATCCTTTTTTTTAAATGGCTCAGCATAAAAAGCTTTTTAGCTTTTGTATTCCTCGTAATGTTTTTTATAAAAGAAATCCACATAACATACCGAAAGGGATGCAATACATAGAATTGATGAAATAGTCAAAAACGAAGAACTCGCGAGTACCTACTCTCAAACGACATCGTGGTTCTTCTCCGATCAGTCTAATCAATTGGCAACAAAGCGTATATAAAGTGTTTTTCTACTAATCTTATAATAATTCTCAAAGGGCGTCTTTGTTATTAAATAGAGCATTTAATTCATCTGTGACTAATCTTCAAGCGAGTTAGACAATGAAGGAGATACATCGTTTAATAAAATCGAACCCCCAAAAATATACGCATTACAGGCGAGGCAAATAGTGAACCCATAGGGCTGGGTTGATGACGCGAATCAAGGGCTCCAGACGAATGAAAGGGATAGCAACGTTCAATGCAATTATTTTTTCTTAAGGAGGCTGTGTTATTAATTCCATAATATCAGAACTCTGATAAACACTACACACTGGGCTTTCAGACGCTTATCCCCCAGTTTAAATAACAAGTACCTACGTACCTTATATACGCATAATTGTGTTATATGTATGTACTTATAATTACTAATGGGGCGATTTCATATGTAAGTACACTAAAAAAACAATAATGAATGAACATTTTATTTTCACGTACTTACAGATCCATCAGATCCAATAACCCTTGCATTAGACGCCTTTAGCTCAAATACTAGGAGCAGGCTTAAGGACCCCGGTAACCGTACTCGTCGAATTCGGCAAAAAAATCCTAACCTAACCTAAAGAACATTTGAGTTTCTCGCCGGATCTTTTCACTGAGTCGCGATTCCGACCCGGTAGTAGATTAATTCGCGAAGCAGCTACTCTTGAGTTGTTAGGTCTTCCTTGGAGGCGCTCGGGTAGCTGTTAGCAAACCCCACCCCTCCTGCAGAGCCCTTGCTCGCCCACCTGTCCTTGTGAAACTGGAAAGGCCTCCGGGCCACAAGTAAGAATCCCCTCAATCATAAAAAAAACATATTTGTTGAAATTAATAATTATAATGCATTAAGTATTACAAGTCAATACTTATACTATTGTGCACTACGATGTTTCATTGTAATATGTGGATATGATGTCTAAAATAATAAATCATCGTCATCCCAATTATGAGGGTAGCAAATTGGCTTGCAGTCTCCAAAAGATACACTCGAAGAGGTCAATGACTGACACGGATGTAAAACGCTCATTAGAACATCCGAAGACTTTTCATAAGACAGGACCAAAGGCTTGCTATCCAATACACTGTGATCTGCAAAAATAATTATTATTCGCTTATGATCAATCAAAACAATAAAACTAAAGGTATGTTCACAATTAGTACTTAATCGCCATCCAACACACATATACCTACACGATACAACATCTTCGAAATATAACCAAAAGAGGTTAAAGCTTCAACACATATTTTTCAAGTTTCGTTTAAAACTAATGTTTGGTAAAACCAAATCCTACATTTAGGTATAAATCGCGTAACTATCAATTGAAGATAAGCTTATCCACTGTAATGTCACTTCGTTTGCGGAGTTGTGGCGTCACTGGTGGCTAAGGTACAGGGTGGGCCAGAAAGGCGTGCGAATTTCAAAATCACATTACTCGCGACAGGAAAGCGGGAGCAGGGTGCGGGTAGTGGGGATAGGTTCCTTGGTTCTCGGAAATTCAGTTGCCATGGAGCGTTTTACCGGTGAGCAGCGTGCTTTTTGTGTGAAAGCGTATTACAAAAATGGGGATTCGGGCACTATTGCGCGGCGTTTCTTTCGTTATAAGTTTAATTTACATGATTTAAACCAATGTCCGAGTGAAAGTGTGATCAGATCGTGGGTCAGAAAGTTTGAGTCTTCGGGTTCGACATGAAATGAAAAACCTGCGGGGCGTCCAAGGTCTATAAGAACGGAGGAGAATGTAAGCGAAGTCGCGGTGTCTGTACGGCGCGATCCCCAGCAGTAAATTCTGATCGCTACACAGCAATGTTACGTAACTTTTTCTTTCCACAACTGCATAATTTTGAAGCCTATAACAGCAGGACCTGGTTTCAACAAGATGGCGCGACATCCCATACATCCAATGAGTCTTTGGCAGTTGTTAACGAAATGTTTAATGGAAAACTGATATCGCGTCGAGGGGACATTCCATGGCCTCCCCGGAGCCCAGATCTCACGCNCCAAGAATGTCGACATGCAACCGTTTAATTTCTTTTATAACATTGGGGAGCTTTCCATCTTGTTTTAAACTTCTCACGTTCCAAGTTCCTATTCTAAGAGTTTTCCACCCGGAGATTCTTAGCACCCCTGTCCCATTTAAGGAACGCCGGGTACTCGGGGCCGTGGCTATATTTGACTTTTCCATGAAGCTAACTACTAGGGAATTTAGTGCAGTGGTTTCCCGTTGCCTTCTGCACCAGACCTTTTTGAGATTATTTAGATCTCAAGGCTGCTGAGGCCTCTTCCAACCAGTTTCCTGATCAGGAGTATGGATATACCGCCATTGCTCGGAATTTTTATTAACTTATGCAATTATAATTAGACAATGATAATTTAATATTAAAACAATAATAAAACAAGACCACGCTATATTAAACATTAATAAAAGCAAAACCTTAACTGTCCTCTTCACACTCATAAGCTAGACCGCGCGAGAGAGAGATGGACAGACTTTTCATGATGCGCATGCAGTGTGACGTCACGCCACGCGCTTATTCACAAACACTACACAAGCGCAACGTGTGTTTTGCTGAACGCGAGCTACATGGTAGGCGGAGTGAGGGGTGTAAGGTTTTTTTCGTTACGGAATTTCATGATTCCGCTCTCAAGCCGCGCTCAAGGACCGCGATAAAATCTATGCAATAGCTTAAAAATCATCACGATCGACTGAGGAAATGAAAGCGTAATAAACAAATACAAAAACTCACTTTCGCATTTACAATATTAGTATGGATCCTTTATTATATCATGGGATAAAATGAAATGGGATTAAATAGTGGTTGGAATTTTCTGAGACGTTCATTAAAGTCTAAAAAGTCAATTGACTTCTTCAACTTATTCGAGAAGCCGCGTGTAGCGATTGTGTTTCATTTTCCCACACTTGGCAAATTCTTCAGATGTTAAACGATTTATTACCTAATATTTTATTACCTAAATTACCATGAATTTATATTTAAGCACTCCGCATAATTTCACTTCTCGTCTTTCCGCCTGGAGAGTCGTAACAATAGAAAGGGTGGCAAGCATTTACATGAATTACATTTTTTAGTCTCAAATCAACTTAACTTTTTTTTTAAACTTCATATTACTTGTCAGATTTAAGTTTTTTCTCCGCGGCAGGGAGTCGGTGGGACTATACGGTACTGTCGGTAATTACCTTAACAGCCCTTGCAATAAAAAAACCCTTCAAATTATTTTAGTATGGTCCAAACGTAAACAAGATGAATAATTAATCATTTGTTTTAAATATAACAATATTCCGGATCAAAGTTTATTAGCGAAATGAATATCTCAAGAGAGAGTTTTATAATTCAGCTAAATCTAGATTGGTTCTGTATTTTATAAAGTAGTTTTATTCTAAAGTAGAGCAAGCGCACACACATTTTAACTATTCAACAAAGATAACAAAATAAAATTTATATTTGAATGTTGTATCTATTTGAAGAAATGTGAATTGTTATTTTCATTATTATTAGGGATCAAGTTTACCGTTTAAATATAAGGGTGATAAAAATATTGAACGTCATAGTACGCATTGTCAACTATTAGTCAGAGTGCTGCAACTTTATCTGGAAAAAATCGTATTTAATTCATATACGCGAATGATTACCGCGGTAAAGTAAAGGCTAAATGTACCTGTGAGCTCGCATGGGTAGATACCATGATTCTATTATTTTTGCTGCTGTGTAGTACGTTTCAGTTTTCGGATGCGGGATATACAATCCAAATAAAATTTCAAAATCCTTTCTCAAGGTTGGCAGATGGCGTCAATAATATTGTGATCATTAACATTATTTAATCATGCGCGTTATTCTGCGGAGTTAATTTGTGTCTAAGTTTTTTTTTTCCTACTTAAGTTGAGAGCATTGAGAGGCTATTTCCTAAGCGTAACCTTAACTAGTAGGTGAGCTCACGGGGCTCACCCCTCAAACCTGACGACGTTGCTAACACGAACCCTAGCAAGAGCCGTGCTTCGCAGAATCTACCACCGGATCGAAAACGCGACCCACTGAGAAGATCCGGCGAGGAACTCAGTGGGCTGTGTCTGAGAGTTAATTTACTCGTGGAGCCCTTCGTGGTAAGCGACGGATTTGGCGAGAACGATGACCGGTGCTTGAGGCACCTAAAAGCACTGTTAGTGGATCAGGAGGATCCGAAATGACGTGTTTAGGGCGACGTCGACTGCTTTCCATTGTCCGCAGGATCTGAATGTAAGTTTGCGATAACGGTGGATATTATACATATATTTTAATAGATAAAAATGACTGAAGTTTTGATAAATACACTTAAACACTAATTTAAATAATTTTATTTATAGTCAAATTTCAAATTATAATATCGAAAGCGTCTGAACAGAATTATCGAAAGAATACAACTATTGAAAAGTAGCGCATAGTGAGAAATGAGTATTTGTGCAACACGTTAATGATGGAAGGAAATCCTTCTCCTACATTCGCCCTAAAGCAAGTAGCGCTTGTAATGCGAACTCGCTCGATAAACGATTGGTTTCCCTAGTATATAACAGATAAATGGGATTCCTTGCCTTTCTTGTAAGTTAAAGACAATTTTTAAATACTTGTACATGTTTTTTTTATTTTTATATTTATTTAAAGCAGTATTAATAGCAATCTCCTCCTTAGTGCTTAAATTCAGTACATCTTCATTCAAGTATACTTGCTATGTACTGTTGTATAGTATATAAGTTTATAGGGTTACGTATTTAAATTGTTATGTTAACATTCTTAGCGACTATATGTGTTTAGTTATGATTTTAATTTCTAAAACTCTTCCAAATGCACTCATTTTTAATTATTACTCTGATACTACTGTCGCTTATTAAACAATTACATATTAAAGAAATAGGCTATGCTTTGTATTATTATTCCTATTTTATTGAGTGTAGATAAATATGAAATAAATAAAAAAAGGTTGTAAGATTGGTTAGAATTATGCTAACCAGAGCCACTCGTGTGAGATTGGATCGCGTCATGTTACTTTAAGTATTAAAATTGCCACGCAAAAAGACTTTTGCTATTATCAAAAAACACTTTCTTCGTTCACCATTTTATTTCGAAAGTAAAAATCGAGCAAATACTTGGACCTCTTTATTCAGAATAGTACGGCAGTTTTATGTCGCAAGACAATATGGTTCGGCGTCGAGAACCATACATACACTTACACAAAAACTTAATGAAAGTCGAAAGTCACGCTTTCACTTGTCGGCACTATTGTATTTTAAAGCAATTGTATACAACTAATTTCAATTGTATTTCTACACCTGAAGCTTTTGAAACAGGGTGGTGGAGTTTTGAACGAAAGTCGTTCGTGACGAAACGAGGTGCCATCTATTCTTTTATATCCATGTAATACTTTAACTATGTGCTGGCCTAAAATGTACATAATAGCGATAAAAACTAGAAAACCTAAAAATCGTTGTAGAAAGCGCGATAAAATGAATATATGTATTTGGCAAAGTTGTTTAGCATTCAAAATTGCGATTCCATTTTTGGGTATGCTCACACACATACCTACGTATGTAAATATAAATGAGCTGTATCCGAATCTCTCCGCGAAATTATATGAGTAATAAATTCTCGATTAAATCAACAATGTGTAGCTGACACCTTTTTTAATATGTGTATATCTTCTCTGTAAAACACACGGCACTATGAATGACTTATGATATAGCACACACATAAAGCTGATAAACGATCCGAGAACAAAAACTGAGGACCTAAAATGGCTAAGTTTTATGTTTATGACTGATATAAAAACGTCATAATACTGTTTAACTAAGTAATTCAGAAGGACAAATATGAATGCTTTATGGCGTGTGAAATTAGAAATAAAAGAGGGGCCACACACTAGGCAGCGAACACGAAAGCTGAACAGCGTGTTAAGGCTTCTCAGTGTTGTAAACCTTTAACCTGCACGTTTTTGTCGCAAAATACCTAAAATATTCAAAGTATGTGAAAGCAGATTTAACGTTTGCACTAATACGGAATATATTGTGTTAAACTAGAAACTGTGACATGTAATTTGCAAATTCAAATCACTGGAATTTGAAATCAATTCTTTTAACTTTTTATTATAATATTCTTGATTTTTAAGCTATTGCATAGCTTTTATCGCGGGCCTTGAGCGCGGCGACCGAATCATGAAATTCCGTAACGAAAAAAACCTTACACCCCTCACTCCGCCTACCATGTAGCTCGCGTTCAACACATTCACACGTTGCGCTTGTGTAGTGTTTGTGAATAAGCGCGTGGCATGACGTCACACTGCATGCGCATCATGAAAAGTCTGCCCATCTCTCTCTCGCGCGGTCTAGCTTATGAGTGTGAAGGGGACAGTTAAGGTTTTGCTTTTATTAATGTTTAATATAGCGTGGTCTTGTTTTATTAAAACAATAATATTAAATTATCATTGTCAAATTATAATTGCATAAGTTGATAAAAAATGCTATGCAATAGCTTTACCGCGGCAGTTCCCGAGTGCCACACGTTTGTTTTTTAAGTGTTACCATTGTAAGCAGATGAGCATACGGCCCATCTGACTGTAAGTAGTCGTCGTCGCTCATAGCTATCAGCATAATATCTCGATTAATACTTATAATAAATCCTTCGCAATCCAGAATAATCAGAATCATTTATTATTCCGAAATTTTGTTGTTAGTTTGATAGCATTTCTTTGAATTCAAATGTTTTAAATATGACTTTAAGCTTGAAAACATACATCTTACCTAATCGTGCTACACATTAAAATTTAAGTTCAGTCAAGTGCAGCTACGAACAGACGAAGAAAACTAATTTGTATTAAAATTAATTTTCGTTAGCATAGACGACCTTATTATATTATTATGTCTGTTGTTAAACGTACATTAGACACTGCGACGTGAATGCTGCCACTCATCTTGAGATATTCTGTGACTACTCCATAAAGTATTGTAGGTATACATTTCTGCCCAATACCATAAAAAGTAAATATAAAACACATGTTTTATTTGATAAATTCTTTAGCAGCAGTATAATATGGAATTCGATAAAATATATATTTGACTCGTGTCGACGAACGAGGAAGAAATAACATTGTTTAATGAAAAATTAACTCATAGAATTTATAAATTAACGTAATTATTGGTAGTTTTGTAAGCCAGCACGAAACTGCCCTGCCCAATTCTGCCGCAGAGCACTCATGCGTTCCGGTTCCAAGGGTGGGACAGCCATTATAGAATACAATTTAAACTTCGGCCTCACGTCTTAAGGTGGGTGGCGGCATTTATGTTGTGATGTCTATGGGACCCGGTTTGACAGAGTCGAACTACTTAACCGTGTGCTCGTTCACATATACGTATATGCAATAAAAAGTATATATGGGTATATTTCTTCTGTGCGTGTGTTTGCCACTGAACTCCTCCTAAACGGCTGGACCGATTTGAATGATTTTTTTTGTATGCGTTTGGGTGGCACCCTGGATGGTTTAGATTCACAGCCCGGCAGATGGCGCCGCAGTCGGTACCTAGGTCATTTATCTTTCCTAGAAATAATTTACGAGTATATGGCAAAACAACGTTTTCCGGATCAGTTAGTGTATATATATAAAAGCGTGTAGTCATGTGTCATGTATACATAGCATCCAACATTATTTCATAACATAAAAACATATTTTTAGTGTGCCACAATTTGGAACTTAGATATTAAAATAGTAATAGTTTTTGAACCTGTTCGTTTGGTGGCGGAGGCCTTGGTGCCTCCCATGCTTGTCACAAGTCCCCCCATATGAGAGCACGTTTTCCTCGATCCACTGAGGCCAGTAGTCCAGACTGGGGGTGCCACGATACAGATGTCACCGCCGTCCTGAAAACATTACCACGTTCATTGTCCGATAACTGTAAGATGTAAATTGTAAAAGATATGCAGGTGAACTGGCCCACCTGAAGTCCATCGACATAATTTATTTATTTATTCATTTATTTAGTTGCATCAACAATATAAAATCACAAATAAATATTTTTTATTTATTTATTGCGTAGGTGGGTTCACGAGCAAATGGCGTGGAATGATCCGAAATAAACTCTTGTTACGAGAAGGTGGTCACGACCCTCAGTATTGAGGAAATCGAAGCAAGAAGATGAAGAAGGGTGGATGAGCTCACGGCCCACCTGTTGTTAAGTGGTTATCGGAGCCTATAGAAATTTACATAGTAAAAGCCGCCGCCTACCTTGAGACTTGAGTTTTAAGGTCTCAGTTTTTACAGTACAACAGCTGCCCCACCTTTCAAGCCGAAACGCATTACTGCTTCACGGCAAGGTAGTGGTACCTACCCGTGCGGACTCCCAATACGTCCTACCACCACTAAATACATAATATAAAACATTGAGAAATTAAAGAAGTACATGACAGATGTCACCTCAATTATAGGGGCAATGGACAGTGCAATAGTTGACTCCATCTTGAAATTTGAAAAGTAAGAATAATTGAATAAAAACACAATGAATGATTTTAAGAAATTTGAACTCCAGTATAATACCTTTTCATTAAGTAACAAAAGTTTTAATATCTACACTTATTATAAAAACTAATTAGAAATAACATAAAATAAATAAATGCCGTCATTCACGTTCAGACATGAGGTCGAGACCTCAAATTCTATTGTATAACGGCTGTCCCGCCCTACATAATTAATTCCCATCAACATTTAATTTACTATATTTCAGTTACGTAGCAATCCAACACGTCACATCCTCAGAGAAGAAATAATAATATAATTAACTTGATAAATAGCTCTCACTTTTGATAAAGTGTTATCGTCAGTTTGGATGGCATCTTCATCGGGTAAAGACTCACTTTTTCGTCATAAATGAGCGGCCCGCATTCCTAGACAAACATTTCGACAAAAATCTAAGTTCATCAGGTCGTAAAACAAAACTGCTCCAGACACTTAATTTTATTGTAAAACTGGAGCATTTTTGTTTCGAGTCTCTCGGACCGTTAGTCCGTTCTAAGAATATTGCATGAAGACACTGTGAACGGTATCCGCTTTATATGATGACCGTACATTACGAATATTATGTGGACTTTAAATCTGTGTCACGAGCACTTAAAAGATACTCATCATAGCCTTTATTAATACAAGTGAAGCGATACCGACAAAAAAGCTTCAACAAATGAAATAGTACGGCCACATTAAAAAAAAAAGGTCAATTGACCGGATGATAATATTTACGTTGCATTATCGAATATGGAAGGATTTGATTGAACTGGATATCGAGGCACAGAATTCAAATTCCGTTCGCGGCTTTGATTGTTGAAGACCGCTACGTTCTAGTGCATCGTATCTATGCAGGGCGGGACGCCTCATAAACAAGAATTAGCGTCGGGTTTGTTTGGCTCGTTTACACATACCGCTCCCGGTTTTATAACGAGCCTCCAAGCGGCCGAAGTTACATCTAATATGGAGTCTAGGAAGCAACGTAAACATGAACAAATCCGGTACCGTACGAGACCTAACAATCGTTTCCTCATATGTAATACGGCTTTCATAATGAAATTTTATTGAACAATTCGGTAGTGGTTTACACATTAATATCAATCAATCTATATATTAATACGTGATGCAAAAACTTTGTATCCCTTTTTACGAAAATTGCGCGGACCGAGGTGTATGAAATTTTCCACACTTATAGAGAATATAGAGAAGAAGTGCACAATGCTAATATTTTTTTAAAATAATGCATAAAAGATATATTAAATCAATAAAGAAAACATTACACACACACTACATACCATGCATTTGACGCACACACGCATGCATACTATTTATTGTCAAACTTTTGTTCTTGACGTCTGTGGTCAAATTGAGAATAGAATAAATATTGTTTGCCTTTATTTATATTTTTTTATATTGTAGCTTTGGCGAAATTTGTGAATATAGAAGTATAAAATACAATCATAATAGTGTACCAAGTTATTATACAATTCCAATTAATTATAGTCGAATTTCGACTACTGCGGGACCTCTAGTAACTATTAATTTATGACCTATTATAGTGAACCGGTATACGATTAAGTTAAATGCTGAGATGGTTGTAAGGGTTCAAGCGCGTTGGATATCTTTAAAGCGGCCGTAAATTATAGTTAACGTATTCAAAAATACAAAAATGGAAGATTGTCCGTTGATCTCTGGTGTAGTAATAGTATGCGTATCGATGAGTTTTATATTCAGGTAAACTACAAGGTAATAAATATGTAATGGAGAGTGCGTATCTCATTCGCGTCGCTTCTTGATTCATACCTTATACCCGAGTTACACGCCTTCTATGTTCGAAAACAGGTTACCCAATAAAGTAATTTCAAGAATCTATCTACTTCGGTCGTTAGCCTTTCCGCTACAAAAAGCATGCACCGCGATTAGTTGGTACCAACGTTCGTACAGATTGCCTATATAAATGAGCATTCGCAATGTTTACTGCTAAAGCTTTTATTTAGTGCTGTCCGTATAAGTCAGCAATACTACGATTCTGCTTTATACTGCCTGTAATCCTCCGAGATGTACAGCTTTTTCGGATACTGAAAATACGGTCACCGTTTATAACTGTGTGGGCGGTGTACTCGTTCGTTTAAGTTCGCAATAAAACTCGCACATGATAGCAGAGGCATGATGGGCGATCGGTCAAGCGGCAATGTATATGGTACTTATCGAGACAATGTTACATATTTTAAATAGCTACAAGCTAATAAAGCCGCTTTCAGACTACGCTATGATATAATAGTATATAGTATATAGCTCATAGCACAACAATATCGCACACCATACATTGTTATGGACACGTTCACACTGTACTGTACTAAATATTATTGGCTAAGTATGGGCTGCTATACTACATGGCACTATAGTATAGCGTAATCTGAAAGCAGCTTAAATTCGAGGAAATTTAATTTATCACATGATCTATCGCATGCTGCACTATCTGCTGTATAATTCTGGTCTGTTCGATATTATTTCAAACTAGCTGTACCCGTCCGTTTCGCTGGGCATTTAAAATTAACATTATTATTTCTCACCCCCACAAAGATTCTCATCATTAACGCCCCCCCAATTGGTGTAGGGAGTCCAATACTCACATAAATATTAGCCTATCCATTATAGTACATGTATTTTCTACATGGATACCAAATTTCAAGTCAATCGGATGCATTATTGAGTAGTTATAACGGAACATCCGTAAAAACCACTGTAGATTTTTATATATTAGTATAGATTTTATACTATGCTGCCAACAGTGTCTTATTCGTCAGAGCTTTACTTAAGCGAAACGAAAGTTCAGTAATAACGTTCAACATTTATTAGGTAATAATTTTCGAAACGTATAAATAAGTAAAATATAGCGTACACTTATTTATTAAACATCGACACGCGATGTCTTGTTTAGTCGAAGTACATGTTCTGAACAAAGCAAAAGCGGTCTACGGAGAGTCAGGCTAGCATGAAATACCAGTCTTTGTTTTCAAATTAACACTATAACCGGTAATTAATTTGGTATGTACATTAATGAAAATTTTGTGAATTTAGTACTGCTTTTTATACGTTAGACTAATTTCGTTGACGGCTTTAAATTTTTTCAACATTTCTTTTGCTTTCTACATGTAACTTAAATTAACTTTTAAATAATGCTAGAGGTCCCGCGGTAGTCGAAATTCGACTATAATTAATTGGAATTGTAAGTTTGTACACTATTATGATTGTATTTTCAACGCCAAGACTACACCATAGAAAAATATTAATAAAGACAAACAATATTTAATCTATTCTCAATTTGACCACAGAGGTCAAGAACAAAAGTTTCACAATAAATGAATAGTATGCATGCGTGTTGTGTTAAATACATGGTGGTGTGTGTAATGTTTTCTTTATTGATTTAATGTATCTTTTATGCATTATTTAAAAAAAATATTAGCATTGTGCACTTCTTCTCTATATTCTCTATAAGTGTGGAAATTTTCATACTCCTCTGTCCGCGCAATTTTCGTAAAAAGGGATACAAAGTTTTTGCTTCACGTCTTAATATATAGATTATTCAATTATGAACTTTTATAATATAATAATAAGTAAGCAGATCAGAATGATCTACAGTTACGAAACGCAAAAATATGATTTTTTTTGTCCATTCATAACTAAGAGCTTTTATTTTCTGCGAATTGTTATTCAATTTCAACTACTTTGAATTTAAAACTTAACAGTTATGCGAGAAGAGTAAAGATCTATCAATAAATCAAACCGATATCTCATGTTAACGTGTCGCCGATGTTTCGCTTAATTTTCCACGGACCTCCTGCCGCGAGCAATAGATTAGCCAGATCTGCAGTATGTAGCATGCGACAGATTACACATCAAAGTGTGTTGTCATTACAAAAGCGAGAACATCACATTCGGAACAATCGGGTCTCGTTATGAGCTGCGCACGTCATCTATATGCAAAACTGCTCCCATCATTACATTATCAAACAACCATGTAATCTAATAGCAGTCTAATAGAATATAATAACATATATTCTGGAAGATTATAGAGTATTTCGGCCACCCATGTAGAGACGGCTAGAGTACTTCAAATAATTACATGTCATAGGTTTTATTAAAGTACGAATTACAGAAAAAAAAAAACTGTACCTAACCATTTATTATGTCGAATATTAGATTCATAAATCATAAGTACTACGTTTGTCAAAAAAAAACTAACAGGGAAATGTCGTACTAGATAGGTATAATAGGATTTTATAATTTCAATCATTAATGAAACATTTCATTAATTTAAAACCACGATTGCAATTTAGTATTCAATTAGGAGCAACGTTTTGAGGTTTATCGTTTTCAAACTTAGTTAATCCTATAAAAGATCGCCCTCCAATACAATTATTAAACGCAAAACATTGTTCTAAGCAATCTTTATTGTTCATCTCGGTTCGTTTCGATATTGTTATTCTCAAATTGATTTCGACCGAAGATGATAAGAGTTTAATGTCGCAACGGTACATGTGGAAACCGAAGATACGTCTGTTTCAATATTGAATTAGACACGACTGTTTCCAGCAAGCGACCGCCTGTCTTTACCGTTCAGACTAACAACAAACACTAAATATAAATATACAAGTAGAAGTGGCATAGGAATGTTCCTTTTTTTCACGTTTTATTTAATGCGAAAGGTATTACTTACACAATTTGCACGTCATGTCTGCTCACAAATTAAAACAGATCGCATTGAATCAGAATGAAGCCTGCAGTCATGGATATAACATGTTTTATTTTCCATTAAAGATTCAATGCAATTGTATTTTGGTATATAATCTCAATGCAGACAGAATAATTGTGTGCCTCGATCTTACAAAATACATTCGATTCTCTGGCGGCTGTGTCCCGGAGGCATTCCTCATTGTTTAGTTTAATGGAATCAGACAGGTGGAGAGATAGGCTTAATGCCAAATAAATATGCAGCGTACGGTATGGGAAAGAGAAATTTGCAATGGTGAGACAGCCCGAGCCAATGTTGACCTCACGATTTCAATTGTCCATGCGAATGTTACGGGGAACCGAACGATGTCACGAATAAGACAATTTCTTGTTTTAAATACAAGGTCAAATATCAATGTCTTACTTGATTTAAACGTTATGGTGGAAGATATAAATTTACTCTAGTTCGGAATGACACAAAGTCGGATAATCGTGATCTATAAACGGACAATTATCTGTTACCGACATTTTCCACTCAAACCGTATATTTGGTTGAATTATTTCCTATTAACGTTTATATTTCAGCAATATTACATATTTTTAAGCCATTATTTGTTTTATTAAAACTTTTGATTTCGTAAATAAAAACGAATTTTGCAAACTATATACAGGATAACCTATATGTAATTATTTTTAATAACGTAGCTTTCTAGTTAACTTTAACTTTCTAGTTATTTTCGATCATGTATTGAGTATAATACATGTTACTAAAGTGATACCATAAATATGGGCTCAACAGGTCGAGTGGTAATCAAGTTTATAATTGACATAGATTGAATTTTGTGTTCAACATACATAATTTAAGATACTGTATTTTATTTGTTTAGTGTTTCTCGATGTAGATTGACAGGCTCACGGGCACACATGCTATTAAGTGATGAGCGGAACGTATGGAAATTACAATGTGAAGACCGCCATCCTCATAACGACCAATCTCTTACTTCTTGACACCCATTGGAATAGATAGGGTAATGCTATTTAGAATGTATACAGCCAGAATTTTTTTTTATTAAAAAATAATGTTGCCTTCTTAAAATTATAGTTTAAACTATTTTTACGCTTTAATCTCGTGTTTTTTTATTGTTATCTTCGATCAACAATAGTAACTAGATAAAGGGATACGTACAAAATTAAAGCAAAAACTGTCCGCGTGAATTTATACTTATATAGCTACATTCGTTTACTAACAAACGGAGAAAAAGTGTTGAAACACTTTTACGTTCAAACTAATAACAACTATGGCACCTAGTAATAAAGTCACAAATCTCCAAAACATTATCTAATACTTACGATCATTCGTCACATAAAACGAGCAAAGCAATAAATTACTCCTGTCACTTACAAATAAAAAGACATATTTTAAACAACTTTTAATGTTAAATCAATCTTAAAGGCAACAAATAAAGTAACTTTTCCCTTAATTGCTCTGAGAACTAACATCGTTTTGCTTTATTTATTTTTGCTTCTTGAAATGCCGATTTCTATTTACTACAGGAGGTAAGGGAGTCGCGCTTAACACTAAAATAATTTATTAATGAATTAAAGTAAAAGTTTAGTTGTTTACTTTTTATGTTTTGGAAATGTATGTTTGTTAGTATCTATACATTACTTATTATTTTATTAGCGTTACGTTTTTGTGTAATATATATTTTTAAGTTTTCGCGACCAGTGCACATAATAAAACAACGTTTAAACGGTTTCAAGCGTGGTATTTTTATTACAATGTTTCGGCCACATTTCAGTAGCCGTGAGCACGGAAGGCAAAGATGTCCAGTGTCAATAAGCGGAGTTCTTAGCTGGCTTATAAAAGTCATCTCTTGTTTCTCTGGCGACAATCGAGATCCATTCTGCACACGTGATTGCTAGGAAAGCTAAAATAAAAATGGAAAGCTAAGTATCTAATGAGAGTCCAACAAACAGACACAAAAGCAGCATTAACCAATTTTAACCAACTAATTTTGAAGTGCTGCTAACAAATTTTAAAAAATTATTACAACACAAATCTACTCCATGCATTTACTGTTCTGTTAAGCAAAAGTTTGTCCATGTGTTGGCCGAGCCTTGGCCAACATTTGTAGCGGTGGTTAAAAATCGGTAATTTTGTTCAAAATTTAATATTATTTATAAGTTTAAAGCTTACAATATAGTTTATACTTCATGTACTTACCGAAAGTAAGATACTCCGGCCGTTAAATTGCTTTTTCGGGCCTTATTTTTGCAACTTTTGAATACACACTGCGGTATTGTGAGACGGGTTGACATTGGCTGTGTTTGAAGTGAACTAAACAAAATAAGAGCTCACATTTCAAGTGCGCTGTTATTTGACGAGACGGATTTTATGCACCGACCCGAAATCTAGTTACTATTGTTGATCGAAGATTGTTATCCTAGTTTTTCCGATTCGTAATAATTGTATAATTACAGTTTTCGTGGTAATCAACGACGAATAAGGTGTTATTCGTCGATATTTGAATAAGGTGCAAACTACCGCTGAGGTTCATTAAACAAATAACCTTTATGTTTCTTTGCACACAGAAAAAAACCAACAGTATCTTGAGGTTTTGCAGTTTGTTAGACTTGAGATTTAATTTTCACGATACCAACCAAGTTCTCTATTGAAGTTAGGATGTTTATTCATTTCAATATCCCCGCGGACGATAAGTTATATTAGCTATTTTTCTTTTGGATTTTGTCAAAAATTGAAAATATTAATATAATAAAATAAAAATAGTTGACATTTAAAGTAAAAGTAGTTAAATTTAGACTAAAGTTTTTAAAAATTTGCTTGAGTTTCCTTTTTCTGTACTCTACTAGTTTTGCGTTACCTTAATTAAATAATCAGACAAAACAGAAGACAAATAAATTATGAGCCTGATATCGGAATTTCTGATTGATTTCATAAAATAATCAAAATTTCAAAAGTTGATCCTCAAATCTATTTTGTTATTATATAATCGCTATTTATGAATGAAGTAGATATCTGACAAATAATTTCTATTTTGGTTGGATATTTTTATTGAAATTGTCCTTAAATTTAGTTTTCAGTACCGGTAGCTGGTAACGATACTTTTGTCATTAAAAAATATGGTTGTATGCTCACGTGTGATCCTTCAGAGTGGTTTCAAGCCGTCCAGAATACGTGTTCCACACGAAGACTACGCCGTCCGCGGCTCCAACCGCCAGCAGACGTCCCCCGGGACCGAACGCAGCCCGAGACCAGTCACAGCCAACTTTGAACGCTTCGTTACTGTATAAATAATTTGTATTTTAGATAGAAGACGTCGTGGCCTAAAGGATAAGACGTCCGGTGCATGCGCATCTAGCGTGGTAACGGTGTTCGAATCCCGCAGGCGGGTACCAATTTTTCTAATGAAATACGTACGTACGTTGACAAATGTTCACGATTGACTTCCACGGCGAAGGAATAACATCGTATAATAAAAATGAAACCCGCAAAATTCTAATTTGCGTAATTACAGGTGTTGGACGTCTTGTGAGTCAGCACGGGTAGGTACCACCACCCCGCCTATTTCTACCGAGAAGCAGTAATGCGTTTCGATTTGAAGGGTACCCGTTGTAACTATACTTGAGACCTTAGAACTCATATCTCAAGGTGGGTGGCGGTATTTACGTGATAGATGTCTATGGGTGCCGGTAACCACTCAACACCAGGTGGGATGTGAGCTCGTCCACTAATCAATGCAAGAAAAAAAAATGTGTGGATAAGTTCAGGACCAACCTAGCGTTAAGTGATTACTTGAGCCCCAGAGCCCATAGACAACAACAACGTAAGCGCCGGCATTCACCTTGAGTCATGAGTTCCGAGTCTAAGATTCAATCAAGACAGGAACAGGCAGCGTGGTGGAACCTGCCTACAACCTCTGCCACCATTTACAGCAACAAAATAACACGATATTTTCAATCGACTTAAAATTCGATTAAGCTTTAACGCAAGTAGCTTGCAACTTGTAAATTACAAAAAAATTATGAGGCATTACGACGTTGCTATAAATATATCAAATTCTAGTTTTCGATAAATATGGACCGTTCATATTATTTTGTTCATGGATTTTGCAAGTCAAAGACATGATAACGTGGTTCGAGACAGATTTATTGATTTCATTTTTAGATTTCTGACGGTTCGAATACTTCGGTGATCACGAATGGCTGACATATATATTTAATGCAAAAATAAATAAATACCTGAACGATCGCACGATGGTGTTCATTCGCAGATCTATGAGCTGTATTGTGTCATCTCTTACACACGCTAAGAGATAATTACTGTCTGGAACAAAAAGAGTTACTGTTACAAAGTTCATTATTAAGATCAATAATATTTATTTATTTTCTTTAGGCAGACAGACCTCGCACCTGGTGGTGAGTGGTCAGCGTCACTCATGGGTTTCAAATAACCTAAGGCGCTGCCTACCTTTACAGACTGTTCAAATCTAGTCTGAAGTAGGACATGTCATGGTACCCAGGAATAACCGTGGAAGGAAGTTTATAATAAACTCGAATTCATAATTCAACTTTTTTTCAAATTCAATGACTAAATCATTATCAGTCAATGGTGGGTTAAAGAAAGATGTGTAGTACTGGTGGTAGGACTTCTTGTGAGTCCGCACGGGTAGGTACCACCACCCTACCTATTTCTGCCGTGAAGCAGTAATGCGTTTCGGTTTGAAGGGTGGGGCAGCCGTTATGACTATACATATACTTGAGACCTTAGAACTTATATCTCAAGGTGGGTGGCGCATTTACGTTGTAGATGTATATGGGCTCCAGTAACCACTTAACACCAGGTGGGCTGTGAGTTCGTTCACCCATCTAAGCAATAAAAAAAAAGATGTTATTAATGTCCATAGGTGGTTCCCACAGTAGGTATTCTCCTTTCCACATCCTCATATATCAACAGCCGTACAGTGTATTATAAACCAAATAATAATATATTATTAACAATTAAAAAAGCACTGGAAAGAAGGTAGACACAATTGTGTACTCCTGGCATCCTATCCGAAGTTTTTAAGTCTAACCGTGATCATGTCGATGAAATATCGGGACTACACTAAAACTGTAAATAGTTTAAGATTAAGCTAAGAACCCGTTAAGAAAATTAAATATATTAAAATTTATTTTTGTTCTTGACAATTTCTTTCTGGACCTTCTTCGATCTTCATGTTTCCTATTTTCAATTAGATCCACATTTAACATATGTACATCTAGTGACATGTCATTCCTAATTAGTACCAAATTAAACTTATCAATCTACGAATATCAAGTTATCGAGGGGAGGGATTCTGATTGGAGTCAGAGTTGTCATTAATGTTTTCAAGACCTTGCATTTAATTATCAAAAATCAATATCTTGAATGGTCAACTTTTTTTTTTATTGCTTAGATGGGTGGATGAGCTCACAGCCCACCTGGTGTTAAGTGGTTACTGGAGCCCATAGACATCTACAACGTAAATACGCCAGCCACCTTGAGATATAAGTTCTAAGATCTCAGTATAGTTTCAACGGCTGCTCTACCCTTCAAACCGAAACGCATTACTGCTTCACGGCAGAAATAAGCAGGGCGGTGGTACCTACCCGCGCGGACTCACAAGAGGTCCTACCACCAGTAATTACGCAAATTATAATTTTGCGGGTTTGATTTTTATTACACGATGTTATTCCTTCACCGTGGAAGTCAATCGTGAACATTTGTTAAGTACATATTTCATTAGAAAAATTTGTACCCGCCTGCGGGATTCGAACACCGGTGCATCGCTCAACACGAATGCACCGGACGTCTTATCCTTTAGGCCACGACGACTTACGACGATTACTATCGAAATCGATTTAAAATTATTAAAGAAGTCATAGCTGATTTATATTTTAATTGTAACCTTGGCTAGGTTAGATACAAGCTTCCAGGAATTCTAGAAGTTACGAATTACCGTTTAGATTAATAAAGTTTTTTGAAGTTATTTTGTCTTATATTATATTATGTCACATTTTTTATATTATTATTGTATTGTTTACTTATTATATTTTAAGGAAGGTACAGTAACGAATGTTACACTTAAGCATATAGAAGATGTTGATATTTTAGTAAAGTAGTCATTGTCTGTGATCGCAATCTAAGCTTTCGTAAAATAGAGAATTTTAAGGATATTTGATAAGGATAAAGACATTTTATTTTGTATTTATAATAATATATATTTTTTTTGTGATGTAAAATAAATATTAACGAAACATTACTTTTTGTGTACCTAAGACAAAACTGCGCAAATGTTCTATCTACTAGTTCACTTTGTAACCGAAGAATTTGCCCACTGTGTTTCTCGCCGGATATTCTCAGTGGGTCGCGTTTCCGATCCGGTGGTAGATTCTGCGAAACGCGGCTATGCTAAGGTTCGAGTTAGCACAACGTCAGGAAGGAAAGAGAAGTCGAGGAAGATTGCCAATCAGGTGGACAGATATTATCAAGGAGGCCACAAACACTAGCGTCCCGGGTGCCATTAAGCAGGCCGAATGCAGGCAACATTGGAGGAAGCTGGTGCAAAAACTGGACCAAGGTGGTCACGACCCTCAGTAATGAGGAAACGACAAAGAAGAAGAAGAAGAAGAAAGACCATCAGCTTAGGTAGGGAAAAAAATATAATGAGGAATTATAATCATTCAGTAGTAATGTTATTAGGTATTTTTGTAGCAATCGTAAACCTCTTTATCATTAAGCTCTTCAAGTACTAACATTTCAAAAGTAGTAAGCATTTAACATTGTCACACTTCAAATGGATACCGCCATAGTTAGTTACTAATGAAAACATTACTATTATATTTTAGTACGAGTATAGTTAAAATACGATTTCATTAAAATTATATTACTATTGGTTAACGCTACACGATAATAAAACGGTGTATACATTATATGTATAAATAGTTTAACGTGCTGGCTTACATTATTTTACTATCGATTACTTTCGATACATTTATTAACAGTCCGGAACGAAAGTTAGTTATAGAGACCGAAGTCTCATTATATTGATTTAAAAAAACGGAGAGATGCTGTCGCCCGTGGAAGATCACAGAAAATAGAAGCCACACTAGAACAATCCAGTAAACTCATCACTTCTGCCGTATTAGGTCCGCCACCCACCTTGAAATATGATTTCTAAAGTCTCAGTACAGTTACAACGGCTGGCCTCTCCTTTAAACCAAAACGCAGTACTGCTTCGTGGCAGAAATGGGTAGGGCGGTGGTGTCTACCTGTGCGGACTCGCAAGATAACTTACCACCAGTAAAATATATACAACGACGTACACTATGACTTTGCCATAGAAATAGGCAGTGCGATGGTGCAAATTTGTCGTCATATAGGTATCACAATATGTCCTCGACCACTCAATGCGCTTGCAACAATATTGAAGGCATTTTTATTATATTTTCATTATGTTTTTGACGGAACAGTTCTATATAATACATGTAGTTATGTAATATTTATACCTTAATACTAAACGAGCTGAGATTTTTTAACTAAAACCTGAATATTGAATTAGTTGACAATTATTTTGATTTGAGTAGTTCATTCTTTTCAATATTTTCCAATACATTTATTTATTTTAGTTTTACACCGTCAAGGTAGGATTACGACTAATTTTGTAATAATTGGAACCCTTAGACATCATAACGAGAATGTCACCATTCACATTGAGACATGAGGACAGAGTCTCGATTGTTTTTTTTTTAAATTATTTTATTTATGTACCAAAATTTTAAATTTACTGTTTTATCGAAACGAATACACCGTATCTGTTACTGTTCATTGTCACACGCACACAATACGGGATGGCGTGATTCTACAAGTGGTTTCCTCGAGGGAAAACAGTTGTCGAGTTATATGCACCGATAGCGGCGATGTATCTGGATCGAGCGTGATGGCTAACTGTGAACTGGGGCTATTCATTTGTCTGTCGTCTGCGCGATTGCGGCGACGACGAAATCGACGTGATTTAATCAGTTTCCGAAGCACTGACGTCCCGACACTGTGATTGATTGAAAGTATCAATCTGAAAGTTTCGTGCAATGCGCAGACCGTTATTGACAAAAAAGGGATTGATCGAGACACGCGTAACGGAAATGGGTACCGAGCGAGCACCTATCACGTTGTGTGCTGACACGAATACCGATACCGAATGCTGTGTAGTCAATTACTTGTTAATGTAACTTTTGATTATAATAATACGGATATTAAGTGGCCGTTTATGGGATACGTAACCGTTTCTCGCATGATATATTGCCATATTTAAAGTGCGTCAATCTAAAATTAAGATTAATAGTTCATTTCCTCGATCGAGCTACAGATTATCTATTTCTAATAACGATTATTTTTATATCTTTAACATAATTTATTGTGAAATGAGGTGGGATGCGACTAACAAACAAAAACAAAATTACCTCTACTTAAATCGAGCGAAGTAACTTTTCCCTGAAGCATTATGTGGTTCGCCGACATCTCCGTTCGTATATCCCAGAATCGGATGCGTTTGTCGAAATGGCCGGATATTATCGTCGAGCCCGCACCGTCAGATGTAACGAGATCATTACAGGAAGATCCTGCGAATTTTGTTTCTGTACCTGTTGACGTACGAAGTTTTAATACAGTTAATAAACAATTAACAGTTACAAAAAATACAGTTAATAACGGCAGACTGCATTTTGGATTCAGAGCTAAAAAAAGTTTTGATACTCATAATTTTTCAAAAAATTTGAGGACTATAGGATAAGCAGTGAAGTAACATTTATTATGGGATTGGCACGACGCGATGGGGTGTCTCGTGCCCGTTTGCACCTGCGGGAGTCGCGTTGATAAATTGCGCATTCGTATTGAAAAACGACTCAACCAGATCACTTTCTGTCATATTTACGGAAGATATTTCACGAGGGCTTTCAATACTGTATACTTATTAGTATTTGGTGTTTCCAACAATATTATTTATGGTATTTTCAGCAATTTTTTTAAAACATTTTTTATCGTCCAACTATTAAAAATGAAATGGGCATGTCCGCAATTTTTTCACTATTCTCATAAATAAAAAATATGTAATTAAAAAAAAAATGTTTAAATAAACACAAATAAATTAAGGTACTTATATTCAATAGAACTTAAGAGTGGACTTGCTGGAGATCCGGACTTAAAGGTTAAAGTAAATGTGTAAATAGAAAAAAACATTGAACCGTGAAAATATGTAAACAAGGAATGACATATTATGAAATTGACGTATTACTTCTATTAATTTCGCTATTTAATATTATAGAGGTGTGATCCTTATAGCGGATGCTACCGATAATAAACAAATCTTGTCTCATAAATGTCTATTTTTATTACATTCAATTTACTAAGACCAGTTCCATCACTTATATTTGCTTCCTTGTGTATAAGTCCACGAACTACTCGATGCAATGGGTTTTGATACAAAAACATGTTAGTTAGCCTATTCAGAACTTTCGACACTACTACTATATAATATACTATTGTTAAATAACAATATAGTTGGAATATTAATAAAGGTACATACGTACACATTCTACTTCTAAGGTCCCATATTTTTAGCGTTCTGTCATGACTCCCTGTTATCACCTTTGTCGGCTCCCCGAGAAACTTGGCCGCCATTACTTTACCGCTATGTCCTGTTAATGTATGCTGAAACAATACATGAAAATTGGTCAGACTATATTTATGAAAAAAAATTTTGGTAAAAATATTTAAGACTGTTACGGCACGATTGTTATTACTGGTGGTAGGACCTCAAATGAGTCGGCGCGGGTAGGTACCACCACCCTGCCTATTTCTGCCGTGAAGCAGTAATGCGTTTCGGTTTGAAGGGTGGGGCAGCCGTTATAGCTATACTTGAGACCTTAGAACTTATATCTCAAGGTAGGTGGCGCATTTACGTCTATGGGCTCCAGTAACCACTTAACACCAGGTGGGCTGTGAGCTCGTCCATCGTCCACCCATCTAAGCAATAAAAAAAACCTTTTTATTACATTTAGATTACATTATAATTCTCCAAGACAAGACATAGGAAATCTACAATCGAATCACAGAAACCAAATTTATTTCATAAAGATTTTGACCCTGTTCATGAATCAACCCGAACCCAGAGGTACATTACTTACAAACAAAATTAAACAAGAATTCCGATGTTCATTTGTGTAAAGTTCAGCTAATGATGTGGTCGGTAATAAAATGCAATGCTACTGACATGCTTCCGACTTAAGTTCTACTGATATTTACACGAAGTTCCCGCCGGAGCGCCACGAACTACGATAATTGTCTTCTGTTTATAGCGTCGTGATCGTTATACAGCTTTGGTGTTACATTTCGCGAAGAAAGTGCATTAGTCCGTCCTAGTGTCGGCTAATTAGTGTGTTAGTCGAATTAGCATTGTAGTCTATTCAAATAAAAGTCATAAATAAAACAAAATTTGAGTTCATATAAAATTTTGTATGAAAGGCGATTGCATGCAGCAGAGATGCGAATGTTGCGATGGATGTGTGGAGTAACGAGTTTTTTTTTTTTTTTTTTTTTTTTTTTTTTTTTTTTTTTTTTTTTTTTTTTTTTTTTTTTCTNTATAGTTTCGGACTTGAGGGTCCTAGCTAGTCGCCAGTATGCTTGGTGAGTGGGCGCGAGTTCTTCTAAATAACTATCCCAGTTTTCGTTTCGGGCGTCGCTTAAGCGGGATTTGACCTCCCGCTGTAAGCGACGCATCCGAGTCCGGTTTGAATCCGTGGGATATCGATCGTAGGCCCGGATTGCCGCGTTTCTGATTCTAACGAGGAGTAACGAGAATGGATAGAATACGGAATGAATATGTTAGAGGAAGTCTGAAAGTGGTACCTGTAACAGAGAAGCTGAGAAGTGCGCGTTTGGGATGGTATGGACATGTGATGAGACGAAATGAAAATGAGGTTGGTAAGAAAATGTTAACTATGAATGTGGAAGGATATATAGGAAGAGGTAGACCTAAGAAGAAATGGATGGATTGCGTGAAAGATGATATGGGTAAGAGGGGAGTGAGCGAAGAAATGGTATATGATAGAAGAGTTTGGAAAGAGAAAACATGTTGCGCCGACCCCAGGTAAATGGGAGAAGGGCAGGATAATGATAATAAAATTTTGTATGAAATCTATTTTAATGTATAGCTTATGTTTAATTATGTTATGTTGATTTTGTGTTCAGCGTCGATTACAGTGTCGTTGGTGATTGACCTTGTTAGTTCTGATACAAAACTTGAGTAGAGTAAGCTTTACAACACACCAAAACTATTCAATTACAAAGGAAATAATCAGACATTATGGATTAACATATAACAAAACTGAAGCTAATAAGAGCTATTATAGGTCTTATTTGATCTTTTCTAGATAACAATCGAGTAAAACCGGGAATATTATATTAGAATAGGCACGATAGGTTGTGCTACAACAATTTAATTTGATTTATTACATACCCAATCATTAGCATTGATAATAAACGTTTCACAGTTATATACATAAAACATATAAACATGCAAAAGTAATTGACTAACAATTTTATTTCATATTTAATTATTATAATCAATGTCTCCATAATACCAAATTACGACTCATTTATAACATGAGTTCATTAATACACGCCGGGTTTACGGTTGTTTTAAACAATCCAACCACTCTGAAAATATGTCTATGACTTTCGAGGTAATGGACAAACAGCCGGTTGACTCTCTGTCCGCGTTCTTAATTACAAACAAAACACTCCATTATCGGACAGTGCAGTCGACAAGTCTCGTTCCATTTATGCGCAACGAACACTAACATTAACAAAGACTTGAGGACAAAACTAGGGGACAACGATACGCACTCGTTTGCCACGGACTCTTTGAATTAATTAAAGAGTGGCGGTGAGAACTAAGGATTAGGTTACGGAAATCACCGTCTCTGTTGTTGAATAACGATACAGTAACATTATATTTGTATTGTGTTTGGACGTCACGTACTTAATATAACACAATTTATTCCTTGAAAATAATATAACATTTAAATCTAGTATAAAAAAAATTTTTAACGTTTCTTTTTAGAGAATACTAGACAAACAGAATCATCTCTAGTTGTAATGTGATATTTAATGTTTGCGTTGATATCGGACCCATTAAGCTATTCAATCAACAGTAAAACTAAGCAGTCCTAGATAGTTTGACCTTTATATATCATATACTTTTAATTTATCATAAACGTCTAAAGAAAATAGACTGAATAATTAATGTCAATGTAGAAATAGCAGTCTCTGTGCAGTGATTTGAGCGGAATCACAACGGTACTGTACGCCTTTAATTTTATAGTATTAAAGCTAATTAAGAGTTAGCTCATTTACTGAGTTTAGTGTCACGAGTTTAATGCGCTCTTTCGTTCGCATTGAAATACGTGCTCGATTTTAATTAGAAGGATAAACGAATTTACACGGGGAAGGTTAGTCATTAAAAAGTTTATTCTCAATGCATGCTCAGGATTCCAGAACAGAAAACGGCACCTTACAAGCAAAATTTATGAACGAAAATCTAATCATCGAGTAACATTAAGTTAAGAATAATAATGCACTTAAGCGAATCTTAGTGATGACAAGAATGAACAATATGCCGACAAAAAGTGTGTATTTGAACAGGGAACTGGTGACTGTTTCCATTTATAATTTATATGTATCCGTTTATCCCGGTAATAGATTTGAATATTATCTAAGCGGCCGTTAGATTATAAATAAATAATATGTACGCAGCGGTCGGTGAAATAGCTCACTCCATATAAATCAGTTGATTTGAATTGCGCTCTCATTAGTGATTCTAGTTGTGGCGCGCTCTGGAGAAATACACAACTTATTACTTTGGCTACACGATTAAACCCTTATGCACAGCATCCATGTTTAGCTACTGAATACGAAACGTATCTAAAGCATACAAAGTAAGCGTTTTCGTGCCAAAATTATGTACAACATTGGATCGTGATTACATTAGTAGTTATTTTCAACACTTCTTTACGTCGCCTCTGAAATATTGTCTGAAACTAAAATTTTACAAGTTACAATAAGATTGTAGATATTTTTTTATCGAGAATTTAATAAGTGCTGGGGTGCATCATTCAAATATCTGCGAATTTGGAAGATTTACTAACATATTCCACGACCACTATGCTATGTTATTCTTTTTGTTGCAAGCCGCATTTCAGATCTGGGTCGCATTTTCATTTTTAATTTAGAAGGGCAAACAAGCACGTACCCAAAGAGTATTGTTGAACAGTAATAAGTTACGTGTACAAAGAGTGCCCACTACTGAAACAAAATTGTGGTGCATTTTGTTGCGCGACGCCGCGACGGTATTTCTAGATCTCGGGAGTTGCTCGTGTGCGGTTATCATAGCGCATAAACAACGACAGGTGGCGGGTAAATCACTGCTCTGCGCGAGATATGAAGTGCGACAACAAATATAATTGACTGCCCCTCGCCGAAGCGGTAAACTATTAGTTGCGATCATTGCTACTTCAAGTTGCCGATTAAAAATAAAATACTATTCTTGAACAAAATTGTCAATGTTCCTGTAGCTAGATATAAGATTAGAATCGTAGTTTGGATTCCGACAATGCTACCTGCGTTTCGTAAACATAAATATCTATTCATCAAAAACGCGTTGATGATTAATTTTGATTCAAGCTGATGTTATAATTTAACGGAACCGAATTTATATGGTAATTTTATTTTCAATTTGAACGAAACGACTTGAGCTTTATCCAGCGTTAGTTATTAAGTGTAGGTATATTCTTAATTTGCATAATATCTTAAAGAGAAATGAATATTTTTAATGATAAATAACAGTAACGCCATGGTCAACGTGCTCCGTGAGAACAGTATTGTTAAGGACAAGAGTTTTGAAGTATTCAAGATACTTGTATAGATATGCTCTTTAAATAATTAAATATATCAGAGTCGCTCCTTGGCCGAAAAATACAATAAATGTTAATTATTCTGTTTCGCGTTTTCGCGTTCTTTTTCTGGGAGTACAAGTGTGTGCTGTAACTACTTTTGAAAAACTCCATTGTTTAAACGAGATTAATAATTTAACCGCCAATTATAGACTATTTTCAGATGCCATTACGAAAAAGGCAATTATGACAATTTAAAGCAATGATATTTTTCAAATGCTTGCGCTAGGTGCGAAGCTATCATTAGCGTTTATTGACCGCGAGCCCTGCAGACCGTACGCTATTCACAAGTCAAGTTATAAAACAAAGTGGCCGGCTTCATCGCGGTTATCAATGGCATTCCCATATAATCTTCTGATTGGCCGCGTGGTTATGTCGCATTAGACAGCGAAAATTATCTGCCGTTTAGTTTCTTCTTAGATTTGTCACAGAGGATCGTGCATAAACGCAATCATGGTTGCCTCTTAAAATAATTGTTTATCATGCTTCAATAGTAGTATTAGTTATTTAATGCAGTTTTATTTGGGCAGAAAAAAATTGCATTAATACCCATGGACCCCAATTGGCACTAACCAAATAAATATCCGGGCACTGTCAACCCTGAAATCAAATAGTTCACAATAATTTAAATTCAGAAGTGGCTATCGCAATCATACACTTAATTATTTCCTTAAAGTGATTCTTTAAGATATGTTTAGA